CTATATGAGTAACGTCCGTTAATCCATTGCCTTTCCTCCAGCGATTTTCGCGAGTCAAGATCGTTATGGAACGTAACATGGGTGCAGTTAATCTTGCAATTGTTTAAGAAAAATATGGGCGCATGGTGTACGGATTGAAAATTCATAATAAAAACGACAAAAATCAATTATCGTAAGATGATAGAATTTCATTTTGATTTTGGTCGAACATAGGGCTAAATCTGCAAATTGCAACTAAATCTTAGCGATAGCTATAGCATAAACGAGCACCCCAGTAAACACTTGTAGAAGACATTTTTTTTTCTAACCAGAGTAATGTCTAGAAGTTTCCATTGCAATATTATTGCGCTACATTCACTAGAAACTTTATTCAAATATAATTTACCGCATTTAGCTTCAATCATAGTTGAAGGCAGATCAGATGTAGATAGAAATATCTATTAACTGTAATCATTTGCCTCGATGTCTCGTATGTGTCGAAAATTATGAGGGAAACATGTTAAGCTATCACACTTTGGTATAGTTTCAATTTGTATATGCTCTGAAAGTCGTTTGGGACGCTTAGCTCTTCTCTCTAATACCTAAACATCGTATTACTACAATGCAAAACGGGGTTTCATTCTAGTGAAAATGTCTAAATTAATCCGTAATCGCCCATTCCAACTAGCTGCTTCAGTGATACATCTGAAAACTACGATCTGTGGTCATAAAGATGAACAAAGTAGGATGACAAGTTTCATATACTATCTTCCTACATGGCTGCCTTCAATCTTCAACGCCATGGTTCATATGAACCATGGCGTTCCTAAACCAATGTCTGTAGAAGCCAGTTCATATCGTTCACTCTGTTGATCCTATCATCCGTTCTAAAACCCATCAGGTATTCTTGTGGTTGTTAAGCGGCCTCAGGGGCTGAGCTGGCTGTCTTACGGATTATGTAGGATAGTGGAAAGTTGCTGTCTTTATGTATACCTTTTTCGATTGCCTTTACATTTGGTCTGAAAGCACCTGCTTAGTTAAAAAGGTGTCTGGCACTTTGTGGCCTCCTTGGTCACTAGCGTGCATCGAAGCTTCGTCCTGTTCGGTTCCTCTGCCTTCTGCTGTATACAGGTGATCTCAACAATGAGACCTTTGTCTCAAAGCAGTTTTGCCTAATGCATGCGCCACATCTGACCTAGTGGCCAAGTCAATGAGTATGGCGCGCAGTTCGCGACAAAGCAGCATGCTGCCGAAATGGGGAGGCAAATCTTCATCGTTGTTGATACTCATTCTGTGGATTCTTCTTAATCCCTTAATACAGAACTAATAGACGTACTGCTGTGTCGCAGTACAAGACCTTGGTTATAGTAGGGTAACTCTTTTATCAAAATAGCATTTCAACGGAATGAGTTTAGAAGCGGGGGTTGTATGGGTTTGTGGATAAGAGCAAGGCCGCTAATTTTCCGACAGTATGCGAGTATGCGGGCATGTGTGATAAATGAAATAATGTATAAGTGAGATATTTATAGTCCTGTATTTCAGTTAGACTGTGATAGATTAGAACCCTTAAGGCTTCTAAAATATATTTGATTCACAACCTACTCTAGGATCAGGAAAATAAGTTTGCTTGCTCCTAGAAGGGAATAAAAATGGACGGACAAGGGTTATTATAGAGTAAAGGTTAACAACTAAATTTTCGAAAACGTTGATGAAATAATGAAGGACTTTTACGTCATTCCTTTAATTAGCTCAGGAACACTGTTTAAGAACTGCATCGGGGTTAATCGTTAATTTTTACAATGTTTTGAAATTAAATTTTATACGAAGCCTAAGAAGTTCAAGCCCAACGAACGATGTATTTTCGCTAAAAATGTTTGCATTTCTTCTGAGATGGAACGATCAATCGGTTCGGTTTTGTATAATTAATCTTTTTACAAATATACTAGTTTTGCTTTTCCCGCGCACCTTCTCTTTGAATAAACACAAATGTATATACATTTGTTTTGTGTTTAAAACTTTAAAAACTTACTATGTTGATTCAGATTGCCAAACCATAATGATTTCGTGTAGAATGCTTTTTCACTGAGTTATACTTTCGTCCGCCTTCAGTCCAAATACCAAAACCGCTACTTCAGAACGTCACTTAAACAGGTTACGTTTTTCAAATAGCCAATCTTCAAAATGATTATTACAGATTCTGTACGTCTTTTGTTTATAAAAGGAAAAGGTTTCATTTTAAGCCTGTGCGGTAAACTTCCGGTGGGTGACCCCGTTGGATCTGGGCAGCGACAAAGTAAAAGGCACAGTAGAGGCAAGACACCCTAACACTGTTGAATCGTTTTATTAAAACACTCAACACACCCATAGATCCTGCTTCAACTAGCTACTGAATGTAGTACGTGTCGAAAAAAAAAAAAAAAAAAAAAAAACAATTTTCTTTTGGCACAAGGTAACATTCGCGATCGACATTGTTACGGCCGTTTTGTCATGCCACAGTGGACAACTTGAGCGATAGCTAGATGATATAGTCGGTTAGCGTCCGATCAGTCATTTTCAATCAACGCCTCGACGGCTTCTGATTGTAATAATTTCTTAGCCTTTATCTAGCATTTCTTTTTGTTTCTGTTCTAAATACCTACTTTGGCTAGAAGAAAAAAATACTCTGCTTTATAACGTAACTATGAGGAGAATAGACCTTAATTTACGAATGATCCGTAATTCCACCTAATGAGAACTTGTTATGTTTTGTATTCGGCATTTGAGTTGGTATTGTATGGGTCAGCTACTGTTCTGTGCTTTCCGGGCAGTACACCCTAGCGGTCAGCCGGGGCCTGGACAGGGTTGCGGGTAAGCCTTAGCAAACATCAAGCTATAAGGGATCACCATTCTACCACAGGAACTGGAACCGATTCGTCGAACAATAGGCGCTTAACCACGTACATGACAACGTCTGAACGCTGTTACTGAGCCGATTTACCCAGACAACATGCAGACTTACGCTTTTTACGTCCGATAGAAAAAAAATCTTGGCGTTCGAAACAACCTTACGCTCGTTCACGACGCCACATGATAAATAATCACAACACGAACTTATTACATATCCTATTAACGTTAGATGCTTTCGCTTTATGTTAGCAGTTGAACATCATAATTTGTTTGTCTCGTAGGTATCCAGGGACGTCTGTTTGTCCTAAAGCGCGTCTATCACGAGCGAACACGCATAGAGCAGCAGTCGAATAGAAGACTCTGTGTAGGTTAACAACTAACAGATACATACTGCAGTTCGATCGCCGCAGCGTTGGTGCGTTATTCAAGATTCGCTCCTCCCCATTTTCGTTTTCGATTCGCGAGACGAAAGCGCGGGACGACTAGGACATCTTATCGGGCTCTACCGCACGTGACAGTCAGGGCACAAGGTGTTTACCAGATCAATTTGCGGCTTCGCTGGTTTTGTCGACTTAGTTGTTAGCGCTGTTCACGGCCAGACAAATCGATCCGAGCTCTCTTCTGCCGCTCCAACTTTCGCTGGAGTGCTGGAAATATAAGCATGAAGCGTAGCGTCACATTACATTTTTGTTAACTTATCTATTATTAGCGGGTCATATTATCGTAAATTAGCTCGCTGATATGCTTGACTATATATATATATATATATATATATATATATATATATATATATATATATGAAGATACAGAACGTAAAGCACGACGTTCGATATAGGGGCGTCGATGTTTATAGCACATGTTACTGTGAAGAAGCCAACTCGGGTCACCTTGCTGTCATTGGTCTAGCAAACAGCTCAAGCAGCCACCAGCGGAATCGACTGGAAACATACCCCAGTTGGTCGCCGTCGATGCTCGAACCGTTAGGTCGATTAGAGTGGTATCGTGCACTAGTATTGTTTACATATAGTACGCTTTCTCAAACATGGCTAACCGCGACCGAATTTGCCGACAGTGAACGAGAATCCCTTCAATATGATACGGCCAGCGCGGTCTTGACCGGGCATAATTGTGGCCGACCTCGGCAGCCGTAGCGATAGTCAAGCCAAATCAAATGTCAAGTGATGGAAAATCCAGCTCTGTCAAGATTGGTTCAGTTAAATTTTTATATGCAATAACAATTTACTATTTTGGCAAATAACTAGCATTTTTCATATTTTAATTTCCAAACGCGGTACCCAGATCGTGAATGCGCAGCCTTGGAGACTGCTCCGCTATGTGCAGTCTGTCACGTGAGTTTCTTGTTGAAACAAACGCTGCCAATGAATAAAGAAACCTTTATATATCGGCTTCGTTCTTGGGTTTAATAAAATCTATTAATGATCTCTTATTACGTCTGTTCGGTATGCGTTGCTACGATTCAGACAAGAAGTGGAAGTAGTGGAAAGTTGAAGAATGAAGTTATCGAGGATGTTGGCCTCTGAGTCACGTTTGTCACCGATAGATGCTGGACGGGTCCTTAGATGGAAGCGAATGTTCGCCACTCGTTGTGTCTTTATCAGCGTGAGAGTTCCGCCTTTCAGCGGTCAGCAACGAGCATGCTGCGAAGGTGGTGCCTCAATGTCTCAGAGAGTCAGCAACGTATCACATCGGAGATAGGTTATATAACATTGCAGTCGTGGAACATTCAAACCGACCTTCGAGAACCTGAACTAGTCGACTGCTGTATTATGATCTGATTAATTGTTAGACACATTCATTGAAAAGTGGCTCTAATAGGCCTTTAATGGCATTTCTTTTGGCCTAATTACCGCTGGTCAAGCTTGGCCTCGATTCGCAAAACCGAATTCGAAGTACGGTAAATGCTGAATATGAAAATCTATAATTCCATAGAGTAGTTGTAGGAATTATCGCTTTAAATTGGCAATTTTTGCATAGTCTCTCGAAACGATTGCTTACTGGCATCCACTGCACCCACCTCGACGCTGTCAGAAGGCACGCCCTTTCCGCTTACTCACACTCTCTCCTTTTCCAGCCTTTGCTGTGAAAGTTTCCTGAACCGCGGGCCTCCAGCTCCACCAGTCTGGTAAGAACAGAGCTCGTATCGGAGCGTGAGCAGGCTGTGGCTTCTTATCCACTCGAAGCGTATCACTATAGTGTTAGACCTCTCCCCGATCGTCGAACCAGCGCTTGAATTGATATGATTCCAACTTCATAACAATATAGTAACCAACATTCGTCTGCAATGCGTTGCAGAGATTTTGGGGGCATAGCGCCCCTACTACTCTTCATAGGAGCTGTGCTAGGAGAAACTCAAAACCAAGGTTACACGCAGCGGTACGATCCGCGCTATCAAGATCTACATTATTCGCAACATCATCGCCCTGATCCGAGACATCACCAGCATCGTGACCCTCGACGGGACCCTCGCTACGATCCGCAGCGAGCGACTGCACGACACGATCCGCGCTTCGGACAGCGGTACGATATACGAGTTCAGGAACGGCCTACAGCGCCTACGCGTCAACCACAGACGGCACGATATGATCCCCGACTTGAAGCGGTAAGTCAAGATGACATTAGGATTGTGTGCATTATAGAGCTACGGGTAAAGAGTAAGAATTCATTAGGAGACAATGCGAACGTTCCGTGACAACGTATCTTGTCCAACGTGATTAAAGGCGGATTTCCAAATGTTTCCAGCTGGGACTGTCCTTTCTTTGAGCCTTGTCTTTCAGTTGTTTTGAAGCCGTTAAGTATCAGGGTAAGTAAATAGCAAAGGCGATCGCACTAATATAAACTGCTTAGCTCTTAACCGATAGATCTTCACGTGTTTTACGTACATAAGTCCGATGATTTTTGTGTACAACAAAATACTTGATTTTATAACGTAAACAGTTATCAAAATATCTATCGCATTTATTTCGTAAAGTGTGTGCAAATATGCACTGGAACTTATAAATACATGATATATTCGTATATATATATATACATATATATCAAGATGAGCTTGTGTGCATATGGGAACAGTTTAACTGGTAAGGTAATTAAGGCTGCAAGTTGGTTAATTGAGTTAGCTGGGCTACACTAACTAGAATAATATAGGATACAATAGAGAGTTTACAACATTTATAGATACAGCCGAGCATGTAGTTCGTGCATACGCTGATGGAATTTGTGTACTGCAAATCGTTTGATGATACGACGATTATTTCTGCTCCTCTGTTTCCACCTGTAACAGGCGCCCTGAACAAAGACGTTGTCGAACTGAGCCTCTAAATGAACAAGGTCAAGATAGAAGCCATGAAATTTAAGAGAAACCTAAGGCTTGTTAACAATGATTCCTTTCGTTTGAACAGGACGAAGAGCGCGTCAGCTTGACACTAACCACAATCGAAAGAAACTTGGAAAGCAGTAGTCGTGACTACCTCAATCGAAAAACTATTAGCATTGACAGCAATCAAGTTATTTGGTTTAAAAGTTGGGCCGATTGCCACATATGGTATCCCAATCGTGGGGCAAAACTACAGAGTTGGAATAGGATAAAGTCGACATCCCTGGAACTGACACTAGGCGTAGACGTAACGACTAACAGCTTGTCTAGAATAGTTACATCAAATAACTAGCCTTAGCGTGTAGGAGACTTGTCAAGATCCCAAGTTCCAAGTTGGCCAATGTAAACTCTCTATCATTTTAGCTAAATCGACGAATGCTGGAAACAAACGAACAGAACCAATCTCGATATCAATGGACGGTTCGCAGCACGTTTGTTCCATCATGTTGATTATAAAATATGAGAAAAACCCCAAACATTTAAGCTCAATCCAATTCACTATGCGTTTATTGCACACTGCAATTTTGCTGCTCGTCGGTAGCATAAATAGAATCTGAGTTCTAGGACACCGTTTGCACGCCACCCCTACCTCGTCCCTAAATCCTGATCACTTCGAGCATAATAATATAATGCAAAATAGATATCGAAGTTCATTTTCTTAAATGAGGACACTTCAGCGCACTTGTCTCAATACAACAATAGGTCATATTTGATGAGATAGGTTATTGCTTTTCTTAATACTAGCTCAGTTCTTCCGATTATATATCGTGAAGTCGCCTTGGCCGTCCTCTTACCGATAACGGCCATCGTTAGTTCTGTTATTTTGTATTAGGACTATACAATACACAATAGAGACCTAGGGTAAAAACAGCGTTGGACAATAAATATCTCCTTATTAATCCCTGTTATATTATTTATTCTAAAGGCATACAGTTGACTATAGTGATAGTGAAATAATTGCTTGATTCGTAGAACAGTAATTTCTTATATCTAACTTGGCAGGCAGGCAGGCAGGCAAAACAAGATTCCATCTATTCCATTATAGCCACAGAATCGTTCTACATTCTTTTGTTTGTTACTCAAATCAGGACACGAAGTTTAGGTGAGACACCAGCTCTAAACAATGCCAAAGAACAAGTTCCCTCAATATAAGTATACTCTTTTAGCAAGCTGTTATTATTGTTATCACTATCATTGTAGGAATGATGCAGACAGAGTACACAACGCGAGACTTAATGTATTTCTATTCTAGTTCCTGGATGACATGCCCAAGGGACCAGTAACCTTCGATACAGCTGAAATTAGTAGGACTATTTCGTATAAGGAGTACGCACTTCAGGTTAGGCAAATGATAAATCGGCTAGACAATCAAAGAGATTGACAGTGTGTGTGTGTGTGTGTGTGTGTGTGTTTGTGTGTGTGTTTGATCGATCAGTCACTTCGCTTCCGGACAACGTTCCTCCTTTTTTCTTCTTCGCATGTTCACCGACTGGCGTCGCCTGTCTTGAGGGTACGCGATCCGTTCAAAAGTATGTTCTTCAATAGCACGAGTGTCGTTCATTATTCGACGTTTGAATAGTTGCTCGCAGTGCAAACACGATTATTCCTTTTTATGGGTTCGAACTGAATGAAAACGATCGATTGCATTTGTCTAGCCGCATGTATCGATCAGGATTAGTACGACAGCGAGAATTGTTGACGTTACTGGAAAGATCAGAAGTAGGAAGAGCAAGTGGATTAATCTTGGGCTTGTTTACCTGTCACCTCGTCTCCGATACTGAGACCGTGGCGAGCTTATAACCCCCTCGCAGTTTACTATCAACAAAATAGACGATCTGCAAATGTAATATACTAGAGAGGAACATACTATAATATCTTCTGTATTGGAAACGCAAAGATGAAGACCTCGCAAGTGCAATAAGTGATAACAAATATTTGTCCCCAAGCTGCATGTCAAAGTTGTATTATATGCTTTGTGATAAGTTTGGACGAATAGCATCATTTAATTTAAATTGTATTAACCATAACATCTAGAACAGCGAAAAAACATGCAAAGATGGCCTGTTTGAAATGTCGATAAGGAGTATTGGGGTGCTAACGTGCATGTCCTATGCCAGGTGATTTGAAATTTAGGAATCAAATCAGTAAGAGATGTTTCTAATTACTATAGTTTGTGCTTTTTCGTTCATATAGTGATGTATAATTTTGCTCTGTTATCGTAGTATCCCTTTATTTACGCTTAAATTGTCGATCGAACACGTTCATACTTCTAGTCCAGCTGCGATATTCAAATAGGTACACGCCGTACATATTTTACCCCATAGTTTCCTTCTAGACGTTTCTTATTTGAAAGTTGTTATCTCAGAGTGAGTGATTTCTGCATCCCAAAGTTCAGTTAGTAGACATGACGTGCTAAGCAAGGCCGCGTCTAATCTGTAGGTTGCCTTCTAATGAACTAGCAACCTTGGCGTGTCCACCACAAATTGATACATGCGTTTCCCAATAAGCTAATTACGAAGTGCAATCATTTGCTAATGGACCCTTTGTAGCGTCGTCGTATCTACACGCCGTTTGACGAATTAGGCGAAGAGAAAGGTAACTGGTCAGAATGGGAATCCGTGGCAGCCTGCTCGCGCACCTGTGGAGGAGGGGTCACGTATAAACATCGAACTTGTCTAGAAGAGCCGTGTGTTGGCCCTTCGCGGATCTATTCATCATGCAACATGAACGAATGTCCAGAGGGTGACAAAGCGCAGAACATCTTCCTACAGCGCCAATGTGCTCGAATGAACAGTGTTCCGTTTGATGGTAAATTTTATAGCTGGATTCCGCGACGAAGACACGGTGAGTATTACACGCCTGAGGGAGCTCAGCGTGCAGGCAAAAGCGATAGGAGTGAGAAAGCAAGGTCGAACATGGAGAACCTCCTACTCGTTCTGAGCTGTTCCGTAACGTATATAGGGAAAATCTCAAATAAATGTGGCTTCCGAACGAAATTAAGATCAATCCAAGGGCAGTGATGGCATTAACAAGTCAATCATTGATTCCCCAGATCGTAATCCTTGCGAACTAAACTGTAGTCCGAAGGACCGGGATATGGAGCTTAAGCATCGAATGAATGTCATCGACGGAACCCGTTGCTATCATGCTGGCTTTGACCAATGCGTTGAAGGACAATGCGTTGTAAGTATTCATATCCATACCGCTGCGTATCATTGCACTCGTCCCCTAAAAAGCCCCCTATAACAAGAATAGTAACTATTAATGGCTTTCATTCAGCTAACACTAGCGATATGTGAGTTAAACGTAAGAAAATACCAATCCAGATGGTAAGCTTGCCGCACTTGGTATTGCCGCCTTGGGTGATAGTTCCCAAATGGTTCTGTCGTGGCCTCTTGCCCGAAAACAGACCCAGTTCCGGTACGTTAAGCAAGGATGTCCACCACGTTGCGTCTTTATGTACATACGATCAGCAACTTACTGATCGAATATCTTAAGACAAATAATAATTTTTAATAATAATTGTCATTATATTTTAGAGTCCAATAGACGGATTTAGCGGGGGGCAATCATTATTGATTATTGACTGCCCTGGTATATGATAAGAATTTATAGAAGAATCGGATATGTAAACCGGCTGAACTTTAAGAGGAACGTAAAATAAATTTGAATTTTGTGAATCTCTCGACAAGAAGCCAAAGATTAGAGGTGGGCAAGCCGCGAAGATTACCATCATTTTATGACGACATGTATCTAAGTTGCATATAACATCCCATAAACAATCGAGAATGCGTTTTACTCGTCCGAACAGAAAAGGTATGACAAAGTGTCTTCACATGGAAATATTTACAGAATTGCGTATCAGCAGTGCCTTTATTTACTTCCTTAACTCACTTAGTCTTATTTTGGTTCAGTGATTCACTGTTCCTATAAGCACCAGCATCGAAATGATTCGTGCTAAAATTATTAAGACAAAATTTAAAATTCTTCAAACAAAATTTCTGATTCTAGGCCTGCAGAGTTTTACCAGCGAAAGTGCTATATGTAAATCCTGACCTCGGAAGAGAACAGAGGTGGTTGAAGATCGCTAGCGGAGCATTACTCGTAAACGCTCTGAAGTCATTTAAGTTTTAGAAAAGAAGACATGAGAAACTTTGAAGATATAGAGATAACTAAAATTCCCAAGGGTTTACAGAAAGAAGCGAAGTATACATTTCAATTATGTTCCTTAAATGGGTGTGAAATGGGCTGGATTTTTTATTACTACTATAGTTCAAGCCAAAAATATCACCCAGTTAGCTATCCTGGAAGTAAGGAGAGTAGGATATGAGCGCAGGCATCTTTTGAATTCGGTAAATCTTCTAGCCGTTTCGAGGTCTCTGAGATTCCAGGACAGCCCTAAGATCGGATCCTGCAAAATGCAGACGAAATTCATCTTTATGTCTATACTGCTTTGCCCACATCGGAAACAAATACCAAACATATAGATAGAGAAATAGATTTTACATACAGATTAGATTGTTTTCAACAGCATTCACTACTAAACGTGCTGAAATGAACGCACTGGTTCAGCCCAGCCTGAAGCAATATGCTCATCGTTGGGCCATTGTCGCGGCACAGTTTGCTCAGAATCAACCGTATGTCAATCTGCTTTATTAACGGTCCCATTGATCTGGGTGACGTACGATACGGAATATCAAATTTTTTCCAAAAAAAAGTCCTTTCATCTTTGCCTACGTTCAGCCTGGAGCATCAAGGGTTTCCAGTGTTAGAGTCCCGTTGGATATTACTATTAAAACCGTGAGGTGCGTGTGTTTGGCCTCATGGCTATGCAATCTTTAAACGTAACACTTTTTGTCTCTCCGGAGATGTCCCTACCTTTCTTGGAAAGCCTTTAATAATCTGACCTCGTAAGTCATACCCGCTATTTCTGTGTAGGGATTCGTATCGTCTGTATCATTTGAACTCAACTGTGCTTCAAATACAAATTGAGTGAATAAGTTAGGTAAATATATGGCAGTATTTTCTTTTCACCTATATCGTATTCAACATTAAATAAAAATCCAAATTCAATTGCGTATGCAAGTTGCTGATAAAGGTTTTCGAGGGATAGGAATATCAAAACAAGCGAAACAAGCTAATTTGATCAAATAAGATGTACATAAGCGGCACGCCTTGCCCTGCCCTGCTATGAAGTGTCAACTATAGTATACGTTGCTTCTTGCTTTGCTAAAAGCGGTAGGCCCTATTTCTTTGTTCCTCCTTTTAGCAAACTGGATGCGATGGCCTTCTTGGATCGAAGAAACGAATCGACAAATGTCTTGTCTGTGGAGGCCAAAACAAAAACTGTAACACCACTCATCATAGCGAAATCCAGCTCTCGCTTGGGTATGGATACCGCCCCCTTTACGTCATACCAGCTGGGGCCACTTCTGTCTTGATGCGCGAAATGGAGCCTAGTACCAACTATCTTTGTAAGTGTCTTCCGCAACCCTACTGCCTGACACCTCGTAGTTCCTGAACAAAGGTACCAGCCTCAACAGGCAGGGAACGCAGCTGGCAGATGCATACATCTGTTTTTCAAAATATCCATTCAAATGAATAAAATAAACTCTAATTAGCCAAGGGGCGGATTGCCGTACGATTCAGCTTCATTGAAATAACAATTCCTCGCCATTTTATGTTAAGCACTTCGCGATCTTGAGGGGAACTACTTTCTGAATAGTAATTACGAGATCGACTACAGTAAGGCGTTCTACGCAGGAGGAACACAATGGCACTATATCCGTAATGCGCAGTATGAAAATGGACGAGAACATCTTCGCACGAACGGACCTACCAATGAAACCCTCGTTATAGCGGTGCGTTCAACAATCGATTCATTCGCTTTTGCTATCATTTTGAAGTTCCTTACGAATGGTTCCCAGTGCTGTCGAAGTTTTAGATTATCGCTAAGTTGGCTATGCTTACTACAGTCGTTAGCGTTATCGTCCCCGTAAGGTTATTCTCTAGTATTTGTTCAAGTTGAAAATAGAAGATTTATTTATGTAACAATTACCGTGTTTTATTATTATTACATGATTTTCCTCTATTTGATCTGTTCTAGTTGCTGGTCCAAGAGATGAACAAAGGTTACCAGCTTGAATACTCCGTTAAGTACGTCCCCGGCCAGCCACGAAAGCCTAACGGAGAGTACCAATGGGAGTTAGGGGATTGGGAACCTTGTTATGACCCCTGTGGGGAAATCAGCACAAACCGGACAGTTCGATGTGCTAGCATTATCACGCGACACGAAGCGAAAACTGAGGACGAGTGCGACCTTGATAAGAAGCCTCCCTCTACCCAGCAGTGTCCTACCGACAACTGCCAGGTACGCTCAAAGTTACCTGTTGCTTTAAAGACGTAACAGAAAGCTTACTACGTAGCGGTTGTCCTATTTTCTTTCTGCCCTGTTATCGACATCGCGATAATTACACTGTCCATGAGTTTTGTAAGAAGAAAACATAGAATCGTACATTAAATAGTGCATACACAAGTCCAACATAGATATCGTATTCTTCACACATTTTAGAGTAAAAATAGATCAAGAACCTCGACATTCTACTATTACTAGGTATAATAGATACACATGCTAAGTAAATACTAACGCTTGTTTAAATAAGACATATATATAATCATCCAAATGCTACCTAATCTCTATTAATTGCTGGGGGTTTACCTTCTATCCAGGCGTCATGGTATACGGCCAAGTGGGAGCGATGCAGCAACACTTGTGGGAATGGCACACAAACCCGTGTAGTCTTTTGCTCGACACCTTCGGGTGGAGGAGTCCGAGTTTTACCAGATCATCTTTGTAAAAAAGTTGGGCAAAAGCCACCCAGTGAGCAGGAATGCGAGTCGAAATTATCGTGCGATAGCTGGGAAGCCGGTGACTGGAGCGAGGTACGAATGCAAACAGCAGGAATCATTTGTTTGAAAATAGGGCATAATAATAAATAACATATCTGAATAAACGAATTCAGAGGCTTTAAAGGGCACCACACGTTTTCACGTGATATCAAATTAGACATTTCTTTTCAGTAGTCTTCCTTGTCATCTGATTTTTCCTTAGTGACGCAAGTTGTGCTTCTAATGAGTTAATCCTTAAAACTCCTGAGATCGGCGTCGGGCAGGGACTTTGTCTGACCCAACTGAGTCACGACTGCAGAGTTGCAGTTGGGTAATCGAATCAATCAACGAATTAACAGTTCCACAGTTAATAACGCTGTTAATTTTATTTGTTTTCTAAAACTAATGTTTTTGTTATGACTTTGCTTGTCGTGGGAAAATAGCCAGAGCGTAAATGTGGCTTAACGAAACAAGTCCGTGAAGTAAAGTGCGTTGCTCAAATGGAAAATTCAACGGATGGCGTTATGGAAGGATTCGATTGTCTGCAGGACGAACGGCCTGACGAAGAGCAGCAGATTGAGCTCCAGCCTTGTGAGAGGGCTGAATGGGCCACTGGAGAATGGAGTTTGTGCGATATGTGTGGCTCAACTGTACAGACCCGAGCGGTTGAATGCATTCTCAAAGACGGTTAGTCAGCAATGAACAACACGAACCTACATCAAACGTAGTATTAAATTCCCGAAGATAAGCTCATCGGGTGCCGAAAAGCACTTCCTTTACGCCACTGCAAAATCCAATATATGTATATATATATATATATATATATATATAGAGAGAGAGAGAGAGAGAGAGAGAGAGAGAATATCCTTATGCACATATCGATCTCATTTTAGTAATTAGATTAGACAAATTTTTCATTTTAATTTGTGCCTTATTGCAAAAATAACTCACACTTCAAGTTATTGTATGATGCCAAATATATAATCATCAAACAGGGACGATCTACAATGAAACGTTCTGCGCGGGTCAACCGAAACCCGAAACGGAGCGTCCATGCGAGAACGCTCCTATATGCGAGTACAGCTGGTTCTTTTCTAACTGGGGTTCGTGTTCAGTATCTTGTGGCAACGGGATTAAATCACGATCTGTCTTCTGTGGCAAAATCGAGGTCAACGGTACATGTCTTGAAATGGTTGAAGATTCGAATTGTCTAGGTGACAAGCCTGCCGAAAAGGAAGTTTGTGAAAATCCTCAGTGTGAAAAGTTCTGGCTTGCAGCTCCCTGGAATAAACAGGTACACGACGCCATCAACTGACCAGAAACTGTTAATGTTTTGTATTTACCAATTTGGATAAATGTGATCACACATTTCAATTGAAATGGTTTAATCCTTAAAATTCCTTCGACTGTATAAATTTATTACCTAAGTCGAAATTCCAGTAGAATTACTAAGCGGCTAGGTACGGAGATGTTTTTCATAAAGATAACATCGTATCTTCTAATCGTTGTCACGTAGTGTCCAGAGAACGCGTGCGGCGGATTGCCTCGAAAGCGAGCCGTCTTCTGCTACAAAGATAATAAAAACAAAGCAGCCGAAGGATGCGAAAACGACGGGACGAGACCGCAGGAAACCGACGATTGCAGCCTACAGGCTTGTTCTACAGATCAGATCGACACCTTGAGCAGTTGCGCTAGCACGGAACATGGCTGTTGTCCCGACAATGAAACGATATCCGGGGCCGAATTCGACGGCTGTCCCCCATGGAATCGTGAAAACATGACAACGCCATGCGACCAGGCCGAGTGGGGCTGTTGTCGAGACTTGGTCACACCTGCTTTTGGACCTTTCGGGTAGGTCATTTCAGGCCTTGTGGCAACCGGTACCAACGAATTGGAACTGCATTTTCTAGGTCTTCATTCGCTTTGGAAGCTGCGCACAGAACTTATCTTCAATGCGCTCACAGATCCCGCAAAAATTGAGAGAGTAACAACTGTTTAGTTGCGTAGACGTATCATACGTAAACATCGAAAGTGTCATTGGTTCAAGCCGTCAATCAGGGTTGTTTCCATATGTACTTGTTTAAACATTACACTGCATTCACGTTGATAGGTTGCTACAGCAAAACCATTAATAGTAGTTTCGTCTTTTCTAGCACGGGTTTGTATCGTTCGATTGAACACTTTTTTTGGTTGTGTTAAATGATTTTTCATTTCAGTGCTGGATGCTCAGTATTTGCTTTGTGTAACGGAACGGAGTTTGGCTGCTGTCCAAACAAGGACACACGGGCTCAAGGCCCGAATTTCGAGGGTTGCGAAGTTCCCTGCGATCAAACTGAGTTCGGCTGTTGTGAAGAAGACGGAAAAACTATACGCCTGGACGAAAACAATGCAGGCTGCCCAGAGAACATAACAGCGAACGGGACGCAGGCAGACGAATATCTGCAAATGAAAGCTCCAGATAGTGAAGATGTTAAAATAGGTCAGTTTAATCAAATCTAATGTGTTTCAATTCAGCCAGCTAATTAACTCCCCTTGATAATTTGTAAACTTTTAGGATAAATACGAAAAGTTTTCTCATAAAATATTCTTGTGGAATCCATAGTTTACTGACAGTCTTGTCTGAAAGTACCCACATTCTTATATATACTTGCTTTTTATGTTGTTTTCACAGTTACGCTTTTCTAGGCGTGCCATGCTAAAATAAGCAGGGAATTGTTTTTGTTACAGGCACCGACCCCAATAGCATCGCCACGACCGACGACGGATCTGGCGAGGGATCCGGGGGTGGATACACTGACAACTTGGAGGGGCTGGACCCCGGTTCAGGCGTAGAAATCGACACCCCTGACGTCGCATCTCGCTGCGAGGAAAGCGAGTACGGCTGTTGTCCTGATGGCATCACATCAGCCAAAGACGCCGAAAAGCGTAAAGGATGTCCGCACTGTCGAAGTAAGTTTTGATGTTTGAGTTGATCTACCGCTAGAGAGCATCTAGTCATTCTAACTGGTAATCTACAAAAAGTTTCGTATAGAGTGCTTCGTTCGCTGTTCTGAATTGTATGCAGTAAGTTAAGAGAAAACAGAGAGACGATTGTCTTGAAATAGCTTATTTAAGTATTTTATACCTATGTCAATCGCAAGTTACTAGTAAGGTACTTGAAAGTAAGTACTTGAAATGCTGCGTGTCCATACACATAGTTCTATACAGCATAACTTCTGGGGTACGATGAGCTTATTATTGAGCATTGTGTTTCTACGCGGTTGTATTAGTCTCGAAGTACGGCTGTTGCCCTGACAGAATCACAGCTGCAGCTGGTCGGAAGTTCAAAGGCTGTATTGATGTTTGCACCAATTCTACGTTTGGCTGCTGCCCGGATGGCTTCTTTCCAGCTCAAGGTCCCAATCTCGATGGCTGTGAACTGGTGAGTACCCTTAAAACAGAAGTCGTCATTTAATGGGCAACGCCTTTAGCTTAACCGGATTCATTTGCATGAACGTTCCAGCGTGATTGCAAGACTAGCAAGTTCGGCTGCTGTCCCACTCTCCAAATACCGGCAACCGATTTCGGAGGAGAAGGATGCAAAAACTGCACGGAGTCTGCGTACGGTTGTTGTAATAACGGCGAGGACTTCGCCTTGGGTCCGTTAAAGGAAGGGTGTTGCAGCGATCACCAGTTTGGTTGTTGTCCGGACAATAGGACCATAGCCCTTGGTCCTGACTGGGCTGGTTGTCCTTGTCAATTACTCGAACACGGATGTTGCCCAGATAACGTTACTCCCGCACTTGGCCCGGATCAATTCGTACGTAACGTGTTTTATCCATAAAGGGCTATTCTAATGGGTTTATTCATGTACAAAGGAAGGCAACCTTTCGTTGATCACGACCCTAAAAGTATAACTAATATATTTATGTGTTTCAGTAATCATCACAAATTATACCGGATTTTTCTATAAAACATCACGGACGTTTTTGTTTTTCTGATTCATTCCTAGAATGTGTTATGTGTAGATCTGTTAGCTCAAATAATGAGATTTTTTTTATGTTGTGGGCTTTAGGGTTGTACATGTGAAACAAGTGAGTTCGGTTGCTGTTCTGATTCATTGACCCCTGCTCTGGGTCCCTCTCAAGCCAATTGTACGTGTGACCGTACGGCATTTGGGTGTTGCCCAGATGGAGTGACACCTGCCAACGGACCCGACAGTCACTACAGCTGCGATTGCAGAACCTCTCAATTTGGTTGTTGCCCAGACAGCCGAACACCTGCGACAGGTTGGTATCAGTCAAATAGCTACCTTGTATGGTTAGCAAGGCAATGCAAATGGAGTTTCGCCACGGCACCTCACGAAATAGCCCATCCTATTGCACTTTCTCTCTCTTTACTGAGGTCTAGTATGCATTACTAGGTCTCATAAATTGATATGCCTGTGTAACCTTATGACGAACAGGTCCTTCAGGCAGAGGTTGCTACTGCGCAACGATGAAGTACGGATGCTGTCAAGATCAGCGCACGCCAGCGGCTGGACCGAACCAACTCGGCTGTCCATGCTCTGCTACTATTTACGGATGTTGCGCTGACGGAGTCACCCGAGCCACTGGACTGCGCCAAGAAGGTTGCGAAGACTGTACAAAGTTGAAATTCGGATGTTGCCCCGATGGCGTGCATGCGGCACGTGGGCCAAACCTTGAAGGCTGCCCATGCGATTCGACCGAGTTTGGGTGCTGTCCTGATCGCCGTACCGCCGCTAAAGGAGTGAATGATGAGGGCTGCCCGGAGGTGCCCTGCCAGCAGACCGAGTTCGGATGTTGTCCTGATGGCACCGCCGCTAAGGGTCGATACTATGAAGGTTGCAACATAGATGAAGGGACGCGAGCGAGGTACGAAGCATATCTGCGCAGCCAACACCAAGGACACCACCAGCAGCCACAACTAGCGCAGGCTACTAAACCTCCAATGGTCCCGTACGAACCACGTCGTATCAGAGAGGCCTGTTTTCAGGCCAACGATCGGGGACAATGTGGTAACTGGACGCTAGTGTGGTATTACGATTACAAAGAAAGTCGCTGCTCTCAGTTCTACTACGGTAGCTGCGGAGGCAACGACAATCGTTTCCCCGATGAAGCATCGTGTAAGGCGTTATGTGACGAGGGCTATGCCGAAGGCCGGATCCAAACACCTGGCCCTCCTGTGATTGATAACGAAGTGATGCCTAACCAATCATCGCACGGATCGCGCAACCCCTGTACACTTCCCAAACACGTGGGCCCCTGCAAGCAGCATCAAGAGCGCTACTGGTTTGTATGCACTGTGGGCATGTTGTCTCATCTAATACGACAAAGATGTATAACCCGATTAAATCGATGTCGTTTTCAGGTATAACGAACAAACGAACCAATGCGAACGCTTCACATTCGGCGGATGTCAAGCTAATGCTAATAACTTCCCGACGCACAAAGCCTGCTCAAATCAATGCCGTGTTTTGTCTGACTCCGAGAAATGCACCCTTCCGATGTCGACATCGAAGAACTGCACAAACTCACAACCGCTATTCCGATACGATTACAAAGCACAGCGCTGCGAGCACTATAAAGGCTGCACGGAGGACGTGAACGTTTTTAAAGATTACGACGACTGTGTTAGCACTTGTACCCACCGAGCGCTGGTGAGCTTCCGCTTAATCGATCTACTATCGTACACGAACACACACTATATTTATATAGAAGTGGTAATATTCTACAGAATCTCACATCCTCTTTCTGTTTGCCGATAATCGTCATTCAGAATCCCCAGCTCGCTCAAGACGTCTGCTCGCTGCCTTCCGACACTGGGCCATGTGTTGATTTCGTTGTACAATGGTACTACGATAAGAAGTCGCAACGTTGCGCTCAGTTTTACTATGGAGACTGTGAGGGTAACGCTAACCGATTCCCTAACGAAATGCAATGTCAGTATTTCTGTGGCGGTCGACCTGCTTATTCACCCCCCCAGCCTCCACCAGCACATCGGCCTCCAGTACTCACATGTAAGCATATCTATTCCGTCTATGATCTCAACGATCCAATAAGTTCTCTTTGAGAGCTCCGCTTTGAGACAAACTTCAGTAAGTCTCAGATAAGTTCTAGTCGCATTTTAGTGACAGATTTAGAAGGAACCACTAATAACCATAATTGAATTTGCACTACTGAAACGCTTTTGAAGACGTGTAGCAATTTGATCAAGTACCTTTAACCTCTTCACAATTTGGCCATAATACTTAACGCAGCGTTTTGTTGATTTTTCCCCCTGCTATATGCGATGTAGCTGCGCCGATCTGCGAGCAGCCCCGCGAAGTTGGCCCATGCACAGATTTCGTGACACGCTTTCACTTCGACTTCCGGACACGGTCATGTGTGCCATTCGCGTTTGGCGGCTGTCAGCCTAATCAAAATAACTTCGCCTCTTTAGAAGACTGTCAGCGACATTGTGCTTACCGCTATACTGGCTTGGCTCCGCAGCCGCCGCCGCAGAGCGCTGCTCCTATCCATCCGAGCGATTGTCTGCTTGCAAAGGACAGTGGCACCTGCTCAGGCCACACACGAATGTACTACTACAATAAGGCTGATGGGGTTTGTCGCGAGTTCTCGTACACCGGTTGTGGGGGCAATCGGAACCGGTTCAGAACGCGATATCAATGCGAGGAAAGCTGCAAGAACTCACAGGTAGGCGTGGCGCCGTTGAAGTTCCGAGCAGTCGTAATGTTGCGCACAAAATGGTTGTAGCGCCAATGACTATTGATAGGTAAGCGAGATATCTTTCCACTAAATAATTTGCGCTATTTTTCGGACAACAGGATGTATGCCAGCTGCCGACCGTCAAAGGCCGCTGTGCAGGCAGGTATAGTCTATGGACCTATGACACACAGAGGGACGTCTGCAAACAGTTCGACTACGGAGGCTGTGGAGGAAACGGTAATCGTTTCGACTCGAAGGTCGAGTGCGAATCCCGCTGCGTCCGCCGAGTGCTACACATAAATGGAACCTCAGCTGATTTTCCCGGTAGGTGGCAATTTACTATATGCGTACGCGAATCATAGTCGGCTGTACAATCCGGGTACAGGTACATCAGGTAGTTTGCATGCAGGTACGAAAATTCGCTGCGTACATGGTGCTGATTCTGTTCGCACCAAGAATCTTGCGAAAACAGCCATTCGTTCTACAGAAAGCAATTAGTGTTACCCTGAAATGAGCTAACTTTGGAAGTTTTAAATATTTACTAAACTGCAATAACTTGACCTTAAATCCAGCACATCGGGTCTTGTCCGTACCATGGAAGCAGACTAAGGATTCTGTCTGTTCTTGAATTCTTGCTGTAATAGCGCATTGTAATGAAACACTGCTATCGCGTAAACTACAATATCGAGGCTGGAAGACTTTAACAACTAAGTAAAAATAAACTTCAATAAAAGACTTAGCCAATTGTCAGCTATGGTCGGTTTGCAAGCAAGCCCTCAGGTAATATGTACCTCCGTTTTGTTGTCTGTCGCCTTGACGCAGATAAGTGTCGATTGCCGAGTGATACCGGCAGCTGCATCCATCGTATGGCCAAGTTTTACTTCGATCTGCGACTTGGCAAATGTCTTCCGTTTCATTACGGGGGATGCGGGGGCAATGACAATCGTTTTGAGACGCTCAATGACTGCGAGAAAGAATGCCTTATTCCAGCTATAGCTGCAGATCGTAAGTGCTACGAAATCCATTTAAAATAACGATACGTTTTTTTTTTCGGGTCAATCGAGTTTCTCGTACTAATATATTTCGGTTTGAAAGAGACCGTTTTCTACAACACTTACAAATTCCCATTTATCCATCTGTCTATTAGCGATGTTAATTAACCCTTTACTTTTGATCATTAAATCAAATTCGAGCGGAACAGGGTGCACGTCGTACGGAACCGCTTACAGGTATGAACTAGCTTTGGTAGAGCGTTTCTTGTATGGATATTCGCTATAATGACGATTTTCCCAGCCCAAAAAGTTGACCACTTTGCCCGCTAGGCACAAACAGTGTTTCTCGTCATATAGAAGAAATAACTGGCCAGGTTGGGTTCCCTTTAGGAAGTGGCCAAATGCTTACATCCAAGTAATTTATTTCATGACGAATCTTTTTCACCATCTGATTACAGTTGTTAACTCGAACCGGGAAAACTCATTGGATGAGTATAGACACACCCCGCTGGTACCACAAAGCGTCCATGGTAGGCAAACAGAAAAATTGTCATCTGCTAAACAGACGACGCAAAGATTAAACTGCTCATTGAAGAGATGAGCATTATAATAATCATTATAGTAACATTGTTTTCATAAATTAGATAGAGATAGCAGTTCGTAATGAACTGACAGCTCATGCATTTCTATTGAAAATAAAGGAATAATGGGCTATCGTTGACGGGCTGGCTTGCAGAGCTATGCAATCTACCATCATCTCCCGGTAAACCGTGCTTAGACAACCCGGCAAATAGCATCACGTACCGATACTTCTACGACACGCACTCACAACGCTGCCTGCAATTCATTTACTACGGGTGCGATGGAAACAAGAATAATTTTATTTCTTTTGAAGTAAGTTATGTCTAATTGGATATTTAATTCGAAGGTCATAGGTCACTCTCAGCGTACTACGTTCGTGCTGATGACGATTCAGTTAGAATACACAATTAGCCATCACGTGTTCTCAAGTACTTCGACGTGTAGGCGGCCAAGTGTGACATGATTTATTAAAAATCGGGGGAAACCATTGGCAGACACTGCTCTGAAACGTAGAGAGATTTCGAATTAAATAAACTTAAAATAAAAAAAATAACTTCGCTTTATTCGACACTAGCTTGTCGTAGGAAAAACTATATTTATCCTTTACGTTAAAGCTAGAAGTGATGATTTTGCGAGCGAACCTTGAATAACGTTGTAGAATATAAAGAGCTGTTTTGACAACGCCATTTTAGCCAGAGATTTTCCGTTGCTTACAACACGCCTAACCGATTCGGCCTGAACTACCTGGCAGAAATGCAAGTCGGTTTGCGCTAACACGCGAGACAGTGAAGCTACGCGAGTTCATCACCCTGTCGTTGAGACCCCTCGACGACCGCACGCTCCATCAGCGGCGCCTCATCAGCCATCACCGGGGCATCACGGAAGCCAATGTCCCCCCGATAACTGTGGTCGTGCAGCCAGCTGTCGTGGTATGGGGGAGCGCCAAGAGGTCCTCCCCAACGGATGCGTTCGGTGCCGTTGCAACCATCCTTGTGATGTAAGTCGTTCAGTAGCAACCAGTGATTTAACTGACTGTCGACATAGCCAGGCGCAAATTGAAAACAATACAGGTCAACACAGAAAAAGCTCTCATATGACATTTTGGTCTTGAACCATGATGGATAGAATATCTAGTTTCTCGAAAATGACCGACATCCATGTAGTACTTTTTTATTCCCTTACATAGATATATCCGTTCTTCTTTTAGGATCTACATTGTAAGCCCGACGAAAAATGCGGTCCCGAACTTAACATAGACGGAAAATATATAGGTGTCTGCAAGCCGACCAACAAACCCGGTCAATGTCCAAAGCTCCAATGCGCTGAAGGAGGCAACCGAAGAGATCAGTGCAGAGACGATTCGGAATGTCAGGGCGCTCAGAAGTGTTGCGACAATGGATGCAACAGGGTCTGCGTTGACGCTGATGACAAGGTTCGCTCTTCATGGTCAAATTGAAATCGATGCATTGAGGTATCAATGGGTTTGGGTTAAAGGATCGTGTGGTATAAGAGTCTGTCGTAGAAGCGGGCATTTCAACGTTTCTATTTGTACCTTTTGCTACTATCTTTATTAATGCGGCTTCTCGCTCTTTTATCAACCAAAGTGGATACGTATGTTGGTACAGGGTAACACGTGAAAAGGTTCATAACTCAGTCACACTTAGATAGCAAATGAACACACTGAAAGTAATACGGTTATTGAGCATACGCATAAAGTGAATTGACGTATAACCTCTACAGTTAGTTAGTAGGACATCTAGCGCCGTGTGCTACACTTAATTCTATATATTGTTCTCAGGACATAGATGAGGACAAATCTGTTGAGGAGATGATCGCCATCGAAGGTGAACCCGCTGTACTCAAATGTCCAGTACAAGTAGAAGGTACCCCTCGTTGGACAAAGGAAGGTAAAGATGTAGAAGGCGAACGAGTTGATCAACATGAGGAAAAGCTTACTATCGAGAATGTAACCAAAGAGGACGCCGGATTCTACTTATGTACAGATCCCGATGAACCAAAGACGAAAGGAAAAATAGCGCTGAGAATTGCCGGTAATGCTACTTTAGGATTAGGAACACACATGTGTCATCAATATTAATGGATTGGGAGTACGCTAGAGATAATTACAAACGGATTAGAAGATTTTTATTTGTTTTGTCATATACTATTCCTAACCGCTATGGCTTTTCACAGCTCCTCCCCAGATTATCAAAGATAAACCCGTTGTTGAGGCGCCATTAAATACAACAGCAAACCTGACATGTCAAGTTGTCGGAGGTTATCCGCGACCTAGTGTCACCTGGAAAAAAGGAGAGGTTCGTCTTCCTACACGATCTAGCAAGTATCGCCAACTGCCTGAAAACACTCTACAAGTGCGCAGCGTCCGGCCGGATGATCAGGATCTATACCTTTGCACGGCAAAGAATGAGCGTGGCGAAGCCCGATTCTTGGTTGCGCTTGTCATTCCGGTTGCTGGAGACAGTAGGCACGAAGATATGGGCAAAAAAATAGCCAATCAGGTAAGCTAACAAAAAAATACTATAAAATACATACAAAACGTATTTATTAGGTAATACTAATAAACGAATCAATATATATAAAACATCAAATGTAAACGAATCGTATGTAAAACCTAATAATGTACACTAGCATATCTTGGAAACTTTTTTTAACTGGACCTGTAACTGCTATAATTTCCTGTGAAATTCAACGGAACTGCATATCAGGCTCCGTATATTCTCGTGCAAAACTCGATGTGTTATGTTTATCTATTTGCCTACGGAATAATACCTGTAAAATCCCTCAAAGTATTGAGGATCCTTAATTTACTCGTTTAAGTGCTACTCTTTTCGTTCAAGGAATACAGAATATCTACACTTTTTTTGGTTGTCGCCTCAGTTCCGTGTTTAATTTCGTGTACCTTTGAGGCCTTCTCCTTAACTAACTTAAGACGCTGAATTAGCCAATATTATAGCAGCTTGACGGTGTATTACCTTTACGCATAGAGGATACTATCGAGTATATCCTCTGGCACAGTAGTTACCAGCATCATGGATATTATGGAAAATATATAAATAAACAATATAAACCGTCATTGTTTCTAAATTCTATTTTTAGGCGAGATCTGAAGCTGGACTTTCATGAACACCGATTCTATCCACAGTCAATAAGGACAACCGTAACCTACGTGTCCTTATCTGTCGCCTAAACGTTTCACAAGAACTTTATACCGGAAAGTCGATTTTTCTACCTGCAGTGGAGAAACCATATATAATCATTTTACCAGCTCGATGCAGTGTTTCACAACGACTGGCATGCATTCAACAGCTGTCGAGTAAGTCTTCAACTGGTATTGATCGTAATACGCTGGGTATCCCAGCCATCCCTCATCTCCTTCACTTAGCACTTTTCATAGCAAATGACCCTTTAATGGAAATAAATCAAATGGCATCTGATAAAAATTAGCTCTTAGATGACTGCCATTACATACAAATGTTGACTACCATCAAACATACAGATGCGCATTAAACAGTCAACATTTACCATTTACCGATAGATAATACAGCATACAAATAGACACCTGTCATGCAAAAGTAAGTCTTATTATATATATATATATATATGTGTGTATATATATATATACAGCGTGGATCACACGGAATGCTGCGTTGAAGATGATGGTGATTTATAAGCCTTTTATTAGGACTTGATATGTTAAAAATCGCTATTATTTCCATTCTACTTATGGAAGCATAAGTAGATGTTATGTAAAGGAAAACATTGTATCATGCTTGAAGACTCGCATTAAAAATGTATTTTCAGAAGTAAATCGCTAGCTGACAAATATGTCTCATTGAACCTCCACGAGTAGGACCAGTTTTTCACAGGTATCGTAATTCTATTTATGGAAGCTCCGCTTTTTACTATCCCGTCCGGCGAAAGCATTTTAAACTGGGTATTTGTTTTGGGTTAAATTGGAACAAGGAAAGGGGGGTTTATTGTTCGTTCATGTCACCTTCGTATCAATATGTGTACATACGTTCTTATATTTATCAAATAAAACTAAATTGTGATTTGAATTTGTAGAAGCAGCCGTTTTTGAAAATCCGCAATCTGAAGCAATACTCAACGGGATACGTTCACAGTGATACTAATTATTATAAAAAAGAAATCATAAGAAAGTACTTCATTCACGTTAACATTACGCTCAAAAATGACGTGCGGTAACTATATAAGTGAACTTTCCACATGAAAAATACTTCAACATTGCACAATGATAGAGCTGAAGCTCTGCACTCCTATATATTCTATACCCAAATATTTAAATTTAACTTATGAGATTTCATTTTCAATTTTCTGCACGCTAGTCGGCTACAGTAACCTTATCCCCTCAATATAAATAGACCTACAAACATCTACAGACCCAAGAAAGACATGGTCGATTTGAATCTATGTCGATATTTAGAATGATGACGCACAGCGTTTTAACACCATTATAAAAATAATTTATTATTAGAAATCGCTCTCTGTATTATTCTCTATTTTTATGATACCCTCTAATACATTGCGCTGCGTCTGCGGAAGCAAAACAAACTCTTCTTGAAGGATGGCCTAAAAGTTGTTTTATGCTTTACAGAAACACGGCGTCCTTCATCTAAAGATGCTTACGAGACTCTAGAAAAAAATATTGCTTCTTTCCGTTTTTATAATTATCGTCAGGCCAAAAATTACACAGCGCCAACTATATTTTATGGTCACAATTCAGTTTGCATCAAAAACATTGCGTTCTTTTAGTTTTGTTGGGTACTAGTGTTCCTCGAATAAATATAATAGCTTAACTAAAAACATGGATCATTGTTCTTCGTTCAACTCCAAATTAAATATTTTTAATTTTCTGCACACGGATGTGAAGAAAGGTATTTCTTGAAGCAAAATCGGCAGGCACAATTTTACAACATCTTTCTATCCTTATTTTTATTCTAACAGCATATAAAGTCTTCGATCAAGCCTTCTTGTCAAATCTCCCTCGCGTTTCGTTCTCAATAAATTCCTACTGTGCAACTAAATAGAATGTTCGCTTAACAACACTAAACATATAAGTAATCATCTCCCTTCTTTATTATTATTATTATCTAAGCACAAGTAATTAACTGTGCTTTATTTGTATTTTTTAGCTAACTTGAGCCCCATAACATATCACATTACATAGACAGGTTTGCCTGTAGAGGGCCATAGCTATGCGTGTAAGTTTATAATACTCAAGTTTAATTAACAACAGCTTCCGCAGTTTTTTTTTCATCTCTTCTATTATCTATTTTAAATCTTATTCTCTGGTCAGCTACTTGCTAAAGGAGCAGCTTAGTTACTAATTTTAGATATGCTATTTAGTTTATAATCCTCATGTGGTGCCATTCATTGTCAGCAAAGTCTTTAATAGAGGTTAGTTTTTTAACGCATGGTACTCAAAAACAAATCTCGCATTTTGGACGAATTAACTATTTCGAACGGAACAGATACACTGATTATATGAATATGAAATTAAATTAGTCATATTAAGTAGAAATAAGTTCTCCGACATCAAAGCCTATCGCTAAGCTTTGATGTCGGAGAGGAAGTAGTTTCTGTAGTCGACCACTGCTTAAACAATTGTTTGTATTAGCCTTTGTTTCTAGGCAGCTCTTTCTAAAAACCTCAAGTCTATTACAACTTTTAGAATTAGCAGAAGTAATATGGACCTAACGTTCTACGGTAACATGGAGCACTCTGATTAGCGTCGTAAGTTTACTCAACCTACGCGCATATTCTATATATTTTTGTTTTCGGTCAACAAAAACTTATAGTTCTTTGTTAATACCAAAACATAGTCATGCTTCATTAAAATGCCCTCTTAGATTTACGGATGTTCAACCTGCTGCAGAACGACGGAGTCCTCCCCTAAAACATTACAAAGCTCTTTAAGTCGCTTTTCCATTTGAGGTACTCCCTGCAACTGGCCCTCAATGTGCACCTTTTCCTCGCGCAGGGTTAATCGTTGGTTCGAATCCAATGGCTCCAATCGCCAGCCACCCTCTCCGTCGAACTGCAATAGATGCGTATGAAATTTCCTGTAAATGATACAGTGTTTACAGTTAACACTTGCTACAAAATAGGTGGTTCTTCGCTCACTTTTGTGCTTACCTTACCTTAACTTTACCCCGACCGGATGGAGCATTCGAACGGTCCTTGAAGAGATATCTTCGAAGCACTTATTTAATCTTTGCAAGTCCATCAGAAGCAAAAATCCCATTAACGAGCCATCCTGAGGCTACAATTCTGACCATATACCGGATATACAACCAATGCATTATAAAGGTTTGGCATCTAATGAGTAAAACGGAAAGTGTTTAGCTTTTTGTGAAATTTTAATCCCATATAAAACGTATAATCGTATATATTTCGATTTAAAGCATTTATAATAGTTGTAAGTGCCTATTAGTAAACTACTCGTAAAACAAACAAAAATAATCTTGCTCGGTTATAAAATTTTCGTTGTAAGTCCTACAAGCTGTTGAGAATATATATGATCACACACTAAGTCAATGCCTTTGCTCATAATAACTCTCATGCTACGCTGCAATAATCACGTTTGAGGACGTACCATAGGGAAGGCCGGTGCGTAATGGTCAGCAGGGCAATGCCATGATCCTTCGCTGCCTGGTACATTTGCCCCTCAACGTCGATTGACACAGCTGAAGTGCACTCGTCCAACAGTGCAAACGCTGGCTTGTGGTAGAATAGACGGGCCATAGCCATTCGTTGCTTTTCTCCACCGGACAGAATATCCTGAATTGGCAGTAGCGTAAACGAAAGATGTTACTGACCACCTCCTAATAAATTAACTTCTTTGTTTTTGGGTTTTTGGGGGGAGCTTTCTAATAAATTTCCATAAAACTAATTAGATCAATACGAATTACAGTTTATAGTAGACAGCACTCTACGAGTGAAGTCTTAAGCATCAAGTTAGCTGACGTTAATCAATGATAAGGCAATGAATCAAGCGAACAAGGTGTTCCTTTGTACCTTCCAGTCTCCGACGGCGTCCCAACCTCCCTCACGCGTTACAATGTAAGCAAGATTGACGATCACCAACAGTTTTTCTAGCTGTTGATCTGTAATACCCTTGGAGCGCATATCGTCAATGCGATCTGGATATGTGACCTGGTCGCGAAGGGTACCTATAGGTCAATAAAATCCAACATGAGGTTAGCCCACTAACAACCTTCTCGGAAAAACCTGGCCAAAGTGTTTTTTGAAATTTATGTGGAACGTTGTATAATATTCAGTTCCACAACGGAACTGTTACACAATGTTGTAGCTTGCTGTCTGCTACAAGTTAGCGTTAGCTATGTTATTCTAAAATGTTTTTGTTCTCTTAGTACCGTAAAAACTTACGCTGATGATATTAATCCCAAAGAAAATATTTTAAATGTTTGAATGGCACATGTATCAAGTCAAAAAGCCACAGGCTTAGTTTGCAGAAGCTTCTTCTATACGAGAACGGAAAAATGAATATACATGACTAATTAGAGATGCATGACGATTTCTTCTTGCCAGTCTAATGAAATGCCCATATTGTTAACAAGTGATGTTGTTCAAAGTCATTCATCGCTAGCTCTATCTTCACCAGCACTTGTTTTGGATGGGTCGCTCCAGAATAAAATGAGATGGGTAGAGCTGTTTGTTTAAATAGCGTCTAAGACTAGAGTGGCAGCTGAACGCTCGTCCCGTTATCTCAGGCCCGGTTTCCCTTTATCTATGGCAGTCTGTGCCTATTTTGCTTTTATTGGGCCTTTTTTTATGTCATTGTACTGCAGCCTAAGATGGGCTTTACAACAAGATCATTAAGTAGCTCCAAGTCGAGTCCAAAATGAGGCGATTCGAGTTATGCTTGACCTTCGTTGGTCACCTTCAGTTTAAAAACCTCATTCCCAGATGCACGGAGGTCTTAGCACCCACAGTCGAATGGTCGTTTGGGAAGTTACCGATTGGCACTATGATAACTGGACCTTCAACCCTACAGATAGTACAAACCTTAGATACAATAGAACGCAAGGATTAGCCATTCGTCAAGGTAACAGCATTTGCTCAAAAGAGATTGTAGCAATGGCGAGAAGCAATCTTCCAGTGTCAAACAGAAATTCTTGCTGAATTTTGAAACTAAGATCCAATATTATTGTGATCTAAAACTGTGATTTTCTAGCTGAACCTGTAAACCAAAGATACATGAATAGGAACGATGCCGAGGGAATATTTTATGCGTGCTCCTGTATTATATTTCTAACTAAATCATTTTAATAAAGCCACGTTATATATACGTATATATGTGTACTCTTACCAAGCGGCATATATGGTCTCTGAGGAATGTAGAACATGTCTTTGACGGGAGGTCTGTGAAGCGTCCCACCATAAAGGGGCCACAGACCGCTTAGTATACGGAAGAGTGAACTCTTTCCACAGCCGTTAGGGCCGGTGATTAAAAGATGCATCTCCTTCGTCATCTGCAAGCGTAAATGAGTTCATAAAAAAAAAAAAATGTATTAAGCCATATTATCAATCGGTGCTGCATAATGTTTTGAACAAATAATTGACAAGAAGTGAATCATATATGATATGTCGCTACTGTATTCACCTTAAAGGTGAGGCTGGGCACGACGACATCACCGTTGGGTGTGACGATTGGTACGGTATCTAGGCAAACTTCATCTCGTGTTTCGCTAACGGCTCCTTGGATAAGCGGCATGCCCTCGGGACTCATCTTAACAAAGGAGGATTTTTCTGCCTTCGATTTTTCTGAAATTTTCATTAGAAAGACACTAAATGCTTAAAATTCAAAGAATACATTTTTGTCCTCACTAAGGAACAGTACTTTATGCCATTGCGGGCTAAAAGCATAAATAAAAAAGCACTTTATCTTTAAAAATTTGGTATGGATATTTAATATCGCTTGTAATGTTCAAAATGCCAAGATCAACGGCCAAGCTTTAATTTTGGCTAGATCATAAAATGAGTGCTGCTAGTGATATATATTTGCCTTCTTCGAAACGGCTGATCCTTCGTAAACAATCAAAAGCCTCACGCTCACAGACCTTCAGAGACTGTCGTTGCCCTAACCGCTATATATTTCCATATCGATCAAATCACTCTATTAGTTTTGCTAGTAAGCGTAACAATAAAATTCCGACAGGCCATCAAGAGAGCCACTCAGGAAAATATGTTCGTATCCTTCGCTTATAGCTTCAGATGAAACAAATGAAAACGAGCTGCATCGTAAGACGCTACTCACCTTCGTCAATGGCAACTTTGTCGTTGACGACATTTTGTAACACGGGTCTTTTATAGCGGCATTCAGACACGTCCTCGAACACCTCGAACATCTTCGCCACTCGGGCTGTGTACCCAGCTAGTTCCGTAATCTGTTCAACGTAAAACAGATCAACATACGTGTACGATACCGTGACAACAGTAATAACGTGACCCCGCTTAAAGAAGCTATTGATTCCATTATCATTATTTTTCCCCTTTGCTTTTTCATCTTCACATCGATAACGAAATCCGCTTAAATCTTAAATATTGCTTCTGGTTACATACACTGAATGGCCGAACAATGGAATAAAGATGCATTCTCTAGGAGGCCGCAAAATCACTCATGTTGCACAGCAATAATCTGTGTTCCTACAGGGAATCACAAAACTTTTACAAAGACGCAATCATCTCTTTTTCATGGTAAATCGACCTACGGCAAGCAAATACTACCATAATCGGCTTTGGGGATACTATTACTAGCGTCGGAAGTCCGCACAGTATACTTCGATATTCTACAGATGGAGAAAAGATTCAAAGCAATCAATGACGGTTGCTGTTCAGAGCATCGACACATCACAAGTCCGCAAATGAAGGGAATAGTTTTAAAACAAATGCTACGCAACATTCGATAACCAGCTTACGCAGGCCATCAAGATAATACGCGTACGGATACAAAAAAGACGTACCGAAGTTGGTCATAAGCAGTTAATTATGCTACAGGCCGTATCTGACAAAAATACTAGAGAAGTGTATTTATTAAAAGACGATGTAATTGCCATTGCTACACCCGCCCCGGCATCGCATACCTATACGACACGTATTCTTACTTATTATACATATATCGTACTTTACCCAAAGAGAAGCTATCGCAATTTTCAGCAACTTACGTAAATTCTACGTTCATTTATCGAATGCAGGGTACAGCCTGGCAAAACTTTAACACCACAATATTGAAGAAGTTACCTCCCGTCAGTGATGTCAAAATATATATATATACCAAAATAATGGTACTAACGGCCCTCTTAATTATATCATTCTCGATATCTACGATAAGAATTTAGCAGGAAGGAAGTGGCACTGGGGATCGCTTGAAGAGAAAGCGCTTAGGCCATTTGTAGATGACGTTTGCCATTTTTTTCGACGATCGCCGAATCGTACACATAAGCGCGTCCTTTCCAGGTAGGGCAAAGAAAGACGGGCGAGTCTTCGCCTTTGCAGAAGGCAAAGGTGTCGTAATGAGTTCGAAATGCCACAAAGCACGCAGCAAACAAAGAACAATTAAAACGAAAGGCAATGACAGGTTCCTATAAAAGAGAAAGCGTTTTTGAAATAGGCCAGAAACGAAAAGGCAACATTTGTAAGAGTGGCGCGGACAGATGAGCACGAAAAGCCTGTAATTTATTCGTTTTTTCTGAATCGTAATTAAGTTACAGCTACGCACCAGCTTTGGTCGTTTGATACCTACTTTTTAAGTAGGGATGTACTAGCCGTGAAAACGCGCCATTAACACTTTTCGTCACCGCAGCCAGCTTTTCAGCATTACATAGTAATTTTACTACTCACAGCTAAACTGTCGATGATCCAAGCTAAGAGTCGTTTAGTGTAAAAGTACCGCATCCGAATTGGAAAGGTACTACTTAACCCGGACCAAAGAAAACACTGGGACGTCATATCTTCGAAAAATGATCGCTTCACGTTACAACTTTCGTGTTTGTAACGAAGTGGTTTGTAACGAAGTTTGTTGTGGAGGTAAATTTAAAATCAATGCCTCCCTAGAATCGCTCTGACGCCATCGAATAACCTACCATTTCAATTTTTGTTAACGTTAAGAGTAACATAGGATTATTTTAATTTTATTTATACAACTACCCGCAAAAAGCATTGCTTTGCTAGTTTTTTATTATATCTTTTGGCCGAGTTGTAACTGCATTTTCGTACGATGATCCACCTGGGTAATCGTTGAAGTATAGGTAAACTAGCACATCAACATAAGTTATATGTCATATAACCGCACAAAACATACTGGGATTATAGATAGAAACAAGCCAACAAAAAGGAAACAAGAAAGCTGCTAACTTCTAGTACTCAAGCGAACTACTCATATTTAAGTAAAAATGCCCTCCTCTACTTTTTCCTTGTCTACTGATTCAACTGACGTCTATTGTACAAACGCACTGCGGGTATACTTCATCGGGCATAAACTCTGTTCTATATTCTGATTACGACCATGATGGAATACATAAGCTGGTTAGAGGACTACAAATGTTTTGAATTTTACGTTCGGTACTGAGTAGTGCTCCAGACGGGCGGCTCCCAGCGCGAAACGAAGTATGTGTGCACCCGATTCTGACTTCAGATTACTTCACGTATTTTTTTATTTTAGTAGGCAAATGCGTTAACGTAAAAATACCTCGGGGATAGCTCTTGTTATGAGTGTGTAAATTACCGTAAAGTTAAAACCTGCCATAAGTTCCCAAGTTTCCTAGAAAGTCAATTTTATTCTTTGGCTATAAGTTATCAGTAAGTAAGTACATTTCTTCTTACCTTAATCTTCATAACCCTTATAGCTTTTATACGTCGTACGGTCATACTTGCATATATATATAATATATATATATATACAAGCAACGTGTCGCCTCATTTAGGAAATCTAAATCTAGCTGTCTCATATTGAGAAATCTATTATAAGCGTTGAGTAACGAAAATACAAAGCCCACTTATTCTTTTTAAAAATATGGTAGGATAATTTCTATTTGTGTCCATTTATATAAACGTCTTTTTTCTCGCTGCAAAGTCAGAGTAATTCTACATTTCAACATCTTTATGCATACCTCCTTGTAGGAAGACATGAGTCGCTCGGTAGCGTCTCCACCAGCAATTAGCATATTTTTCGTCGTCGTGATGAACTGTGTCCTCGTTGAAATGCCGTCAGCATCGTTCACAATTTTTGTTCCCTATCGTGAAGAAGTATAGTAGTTTAAGCGTACTTTCGTAAACTGCGCTGGCTGACTCTCAGTGTGAGCTTAGAGAAACGTATTCATGTAAACTTTTTTTCTTACCTTAAATTGTTTACAGGATAATAGACACACAATTAATATGCCCTTTTTTAGATTAGCAAAAGAGGTATATTCGGCATAATAATAACAATGTACATTAAGTTGTGCGTGTATGTGCAATATTTGAGTCAGTTTTAACTCATGCTGGTATACTATGCTCTAGAGATGTGGAAATAAAATTTTAGCTTTTGAAAAAAAGATATATCATATGATTGTACGATATGATCTAAAACAAACATTTCTCTATAAACCTTTTCAAGCGGGGTGATGCCGGTCATAATAGGGAGAGCCACCATGACCATACCGGTGGCTGACCAAAGATATTTCATCAGGAACTGCTCAAGCATGATATACCATAACCGTTGGTTCATAATAGAGGACATTTGACGCACAAGACTGCGATAAGAGCGCTCCAGCAAAGACAGCTCCACCTAGAAGAGATTTATATAGGGGTAGACAAAATCATCGACAGGTCAACAAAAGAACACTAATATTGATTTTGGCTTGAAATCAGCTCGAACGCATTCAGAATATGCATACATTTAAAAAGCATCAGTTACATTTGTTCATACAAACCTTAACAACGTAGTTTAATAGGCAACTTTTGTGCTATTTCAATTAAAAGTATATCACACTGAGCCATTCGTTCGAGCGTCGTTTTTTTTTTACCTTATCGATAAAAAGATGATACCAATAAAATGAGCACTTACCATGTGGCAGTGATGTAAGTAATTTTAAATGACATTTGACAGATCATTTCTGAATATTGGTACACCTTTGACTATTAATAATACAAATATGGACGCTTACAAAAAGTCAAAATGACACTTTTTCATATTAAAAAACATTTTTTTTTGTCATTGGTACGGTTTCCGTTCTTAGGACACTATTTCTATCTGCTACTGTTACCAACTTTAAGGAGTTTTCACACGTCGCGTGGTATCATCATGATTTAACTAACGCTTTTTTCAGTTCATAGCTTCATGGCATAGTGGCATTGTATCATAATTTTTCTCTGATAACGAAATCAACAGTTTGATAATAAAGAAGCATTTCATTTAAAAATTACATTTTCTTTCATTTCTAGGCACAAACCTACTTATATTGATTGCGTATATATCTAACAACAGGAGCTCTAATAGAAGCAAAAGGTATTGGTTTTTAGCATAGTCCACGATGCCATCGCCACAACCATTGACAACCTCTCCCGCTCCCACCAATGTAACAATGATAAGAAGGAGATAAAGGTTGCTCCACCATTTTTTCAAAAGCCAGTCGCTTGCTGCGCTCGCATCCGACGCTTCGGTGGGATGACAGATTCGGACGAAAAAAGAAAAGCTCACCATCAGAGAGGTCGGCTGATGCGAGAAGTTCCAGAAATGCAAATGCGTAGCGTCTGATCGGCGCTTCGTGGCATTGTAATGCGCAAACCTCTTCCTACAGCCGTTTCTCGTTTACAGAATATATCAGGGATCCTCTATTGATCTGTTCCTAATTACTGCAGCGTTTGGTAAGGAAACAAGACAGGTGTCAGCAGTCAGTCAGCATTAAGTTACGATGCTTATTGAGCTAGCTCTTTTCATATATCCATTTTGCTTATACCACCCAAGAAAGACTCTCGACATCTCCTTTTCTGTCTACATCTACAGAATGATAAAAGGCTTTTATCTTCAATTTGATGATTCATACCTAGATCGACTTAGCATAACTTATAACAACTTATAACATACAACAAACTAAGTAAAAATAATAGACTTCGACAGAGAAGTAAAATAAGATGGACTGTGGTAGGTATGTGCCATCGTTTCTTTTTTATGGCTTGCTGCAAGTCAACATACTGCAACGAAAGAGACGTTAACGAGAGATACAACTTTTCAAGCCGAGAGACCTTTGTTTACGAGAGTATTTCATTGTTCATACAAAGCACTTCGGGTTGGTACCGAGAACTTTTCTCACATAGGTGTATCCGATGAAATCGATTGGTAGCTAAATCTATAGGGTCAAATGAATCTAATGATGACACGAACGAGTTCAGCTATTGTTATATCCATAGCGTATAATTCATGCAATTATAGCATATAACTACCGCAAATAAATTGTTTTAGGATAGTGATTTACAAATCTGCAGCAAAATTTATAGTTGTTAGAAACTTGCCAGAAAATGGTCGAAAGTTCGCATATCGGAACTGACACGGTTCGTCTAGTAACTTTGCTAGGGAAAATAGTGTTAGAGTAAAGGGTCATTATGACGAAAACAACGGCTCAGGAAGGAAGATACCGTCAATGCAATTGGAATATATGTATATAGATATAGCGACCGCGTTTGTGTTGCTTTGCAAAGTGATATATAAAGTTGAAATACAGAATCTCAAAAGCTATACGTGTGTCTACAGCGTTTATTGGAGTAATAAAGAAAGTCAGGAATATCAAATCTTCCTACAAGATACGGATACATTATTTTTATTTCCTTAATGTTATCTTAATGCTATTTGAAAAAGAGAAGTAGATATTCCAGTTCAATATAAGTTCATTTATCTGTCGTCCGATACGCGTGAAGTATATATACAGAAAAATTATTTATATCCGGATAACTGTCCGCCAGAAAACATTTGACATACAGATAATTCAAATGTATACGCACCACTTATCGTCCAAAAAATTCAAAAGGGTCATTTAACACGCCGACGGCACATACAGATATTGTCGCATTCTGTTAGCATTAACTTACTGCAATTTTTTATTTTCAAAAGTTATCTCAAAATTCGTTCGTCTATTAAAATAGGTTTCATTAAGTGGATCAACTACTTTTGCACGGCTTTCTGGGATACTCTGTACAACGAGACGTAATTCGGGCATATAAATATGTACAGAAATTAGATACTCGTGCTGCCAAAAAGGATCCGTTGTTTGAAAGTAACCGTCAGCCGAATCAGAAGCCAGAAGCAATAATGCCTTATTCTTTTTACGACAAGTTATGCAGATCTTAGGCGTTATTCAGGTATTTTTTTAAGACTTAATGAAATCAACTTGAAAAAGACTAAGTGTATACTCCCGATCCTTAGAAAAATTGTGTATCTTGAGGCTGTTACATTAAAAAAAAACGTATTTCCGTAGTTACTAAATGGCTGACTTTGATGAACAAAAGGGGCTTCGTACTGACCTGTAAACAGCTGCGTCACAAATGCAGTAAAAATCTAGATGAACTATTTGCGATTACGGTTTCGATAGTATTCTTGCATTTCCACCATCAGCCACGTCACCTTTATAATGTTATAGTTATGTACGTACAGCGTTTATTGAAGTAACAAGGAAAGACAGGAGTATCAAAGCTTCTTGAACATCTCGTTCCTATATATGCAAAGTACACTCATCATCACGGCGTATAAGATGCAGATAGATTCTTTTATAAGTCTTTATAAAGAAGTCTTTATAAAAGACTTGACATATTCGTTAAGCTTCGGTAACGTTACTTGAAAAATTTTGTGTAATATGCAGTAAATACAGTGGGAATTAGCTTGAAGTTTTGCCTCTTTGAACAATAACGTTTTCCTGTTGTTGTCCCCCCCCCCCCCCTCGATTTCAGCTCAAGGAAGCAACGACATCTTCGTTTCAGTGAAACAAATTAAGCGTCTGTTTTTAAAACAAGGCCTCAGATTATATATATGCCTTCTAAGCCTCCTCGTTATACCTAAGCATACATTTGGAAATACTCTAAAAGTCGACATGTTAAACACTACAAATGCCACTCGACAAAAGCTACGCATAATGGGGGTCAAGCTAGAATTAGAGGATACTTTCTATTTAGGCTAACACATTTTAACGCGTTAAAGAGGGGACAGTTATTAAGATTGGCCAGCTAATCAGAGCCACCATTGTCGGATGTCACTGGTTTCGGCGTGGCTTCTCCCATCATCACTGAATCAACATGGCGTTCGGTATAACGTTTTCTGTCAAGCGTTTTTTTTTCTAGATGTGTCAGCCAATATACCTGGAACTCTATCAAACAATTCATAACTCTATTTTTCATTTAGCAAGTATAAACGACAGCTAGGGTCAACAACGCATCGCATTGCCTACCCAACACAGACGACAAAGCCAGCTTTACTTAAAGTAAAATAATTAAATATATATATAGGCTATCATTTTAAAGGCTCTGGTGACTATTCGCCACACTAAAGATGTCCCGCAATATAAAAGAGCCTTTTATTGAGTGCGAGCTAATGTGTTTAAGCTAATGTGTTGCTTTTTAGCAATTATTTAGTACAGGTGCCTCCACCATACGCAGCAATCCAAAGTTTTCGTATTCTAGATTGAGACATTTCCTTATCAGCAAAAGTACATTCATAAATTAATAGTAGCATATCATCAATGTTCGCTTAAATGAATAAATCAAATGCCAACATCAGGACAGGAAGTTTAGGTTACACATTGATTAGTTAGATAGGTAACATATTTTTCTGCTGATCCTACGGACACTTTGTGGTTTAGGTTTGACTCCGGTCGTAAGACAGTTCCATTTCTTGCTGGAAGTCAGCAATCTGTCTAACGGAATTAGGCCTAACGGCGATAGGGGACATAAAACTCCAAGCATAGTAACTAGTTTTCGAGGCGACATCTTTCATTTCAAGTGACACGATGAACAATTGAAGTGAGATACTATTGAATAGATTGGTAAGTTAGAAGTAGCTGTTTTCCTGCATTCCTTAGGACAAAAACAGATTCGAGGAGAGTAGCACCACCTAGAGGGATGCGACGTCATTCTTGACGAGCTAGATTCAGGTACTCGAAATTTATGGTCTCAGTGAACATATTTACCTCACCATCGCGCATTTGAATCTTTTCCCATTCGGAAACTATGAAAACGTCAATAGTTGTACCATGCTTTTGAAATAAAAGTTATAATAAATAAAAGAAATAAAAAAAAAAGCCCTCTGCATAGTTTATCAACCATACGCAAACGCAAAGAAAGCCACAGTCAATAGAAGCTCCGATATTCACTGCTCCACTGTTAGACTATAGATTGATGGATACAATTCTGATAACAAACATATTTACATTGACAACTGTCAAAACTTCTACGAGACCAGAATAGAAACATTTGGACAAACAGCTTCTGCAATTATGGCTACCTGCGAAACTCAGACAATTTATAGAGTCACGCTCAGGCTCCTCGCTGTAACTGCAGTCACGTAAAAGACTGCCACTGTGCAATTACAACCCCATTCGCTCGTAAATAATCATTGGAGGGACTCGAATAAACAAAAATAGACGAATATATATATATATATATAAAGCTTAAAAAGCAACGGTAGCAGACGAGCTAAGGCCGACTAATAGAGATGCTTAAGGTGCAGCGAAAGTCAGAAATCATCAGATAGGTGCCGTTCTTGACTAAAAAACAATCAGGTAAGATAACAAGATATTTCACACTTTTGGGAATCCTTATGTTTTCTCGTCATTCTCTGTACGTTTCAGAACATAGGCGCATTATACCGCTAGACTTTTTCGAATAAGTAAATCGTTTGGAGTGATACGCGCCTAAACATGCGATTCATTAAAGTAAACGGCTAGTCCAATGATTGGATCAAGTTATATGTTGAGAACAAATGTATACTTTTAGAAGTCGTTGACCAAAAAAAAGTTCTGCTCAAATCGCCAGCAACGAGAATGCCAACTACAAGGAAATCCGTTTGTTGCGTATGGTTTTGGCATAAATGCACTGATATTTACTGGACAGAGGAAAAGTATGCCGCCGGGTGCAGTCACTAGCTGCTAGGCTCTTTATATCGGTATAGGCTACTGTGATAGTCAAACTAGCGACACACACGCTTAGAGGAATACTTCAGAGAGGCTACCGATATGTCTCACACTGAAACTGCTGTCTAAAACGTGACTCACACTCTAGAATTTCAAAAGTGTATGAATATATAGAATGAATTATATAACGTCTATCATTACTAACATAATTCCCATTTATGCTAGCGTATATGCCCTCAAGTTAGGATATCGGAAACTGCAGGGCCAAAACTTCCCAGTTTATAAAAGCGGTCTTCCAAAACCAGTTATTGCCCGCCTCGTCTTCTAAATGGTCCCGTTAAGAATAATTTTTTTAATTTCTTCCGCATTGTTATATTGCTTTGTCCATGTTCTCATTGTCCAATTCTACTAATACGTATCATCTCTATTATAAATATGACACATGCAGGTATTTCATTATGGCGCTATGAATAGCAGGAAGTGGGTAGGGCATTGACATCGATGCCCTTTCCTGTAAATCTTAGTTTCTGTATTTGAATGAAACGTTAATAATTTTTTTTGTAAATCTACTCAAATAGATATCTCTAGGAAGCAAAAAAGAAAGATCGGTATCAAGCTCATAGATTATCGTTTGGTTTGACTAACCTTGTCACCGCACTTCTATGGGCCATGACCGACTAACTTTCTCTGGCATTCGTTTGGTTGATACAGAATGGCAGACGACGCAGAATCATTCGATGATTGGGAATGAATCGTGAAGCAGACATAGCTAGCGCTATATGAATGTTTCGTCATAGGCACATCACCACCTTCTTGATCGTGATACTTTCTTTATTTATAATGCCAACTGTCTCTTTTGTTATTTTTATTAGATACTACAATTTAGAATTTCGAATTACAGACTTTACGGCCTTTATTATAAACTCGAATTACGGCTCATGCGTGCGCATAAATACTTGTCAATAAACACGGTTATTCTGGGGAGTTTAATTAAACACTCTTTGATTACTTATCTTTCATATTGTCACGTTGTAATATGGTAGTAAACGTCATAGTGCCTTTCACTGCGGGAATTTTCTCCAATTGCCAGTTTTTCAAACTACATAAATACATAAATATACCCAATGTTCTATCTGTCACCTATAGAGTCACTACTTATGGTTACTCAAAATAGACAAAAACTTTGCAGGCCTGCAAAGGGCAACCGTTTCAAGCTTTACGTACTGGAATTATGATCAAACACAACAAGAATCTTACTGCTAATCATATTTGTTCAAAATCCAAAAAAAAAATGCGTATCACTAGTACGCACGTCCGCAGCCCCAGATTAATTGACCCATGTCTGGAAAGTAAAACCTACATTCTGCATCTATATCCATCAGGTTAAGTTTTAATACATCCGTAACGTGTTGCGCCGTACTAGAAAATTTCCGCACCTGTAGCTAGCCGTCATATTTCAAACCTCTATCTAAATAAGATCTCTAGAGACGAGTCAATCGAGAGTTATCAAATCGCGTGACAGTTGTAGGGGTCAAGTTCCAACTGGTCGCTAAGTGACAGTTCTATTTTAACGATGTTAGTAGATGTACGTCGCGCATTTGATTGAGTTAAATCACTACTTGGGGGAGGGGGTGAGAACGGCAAACGTAAATTGTTATTAACAACGAAAAGTGGTCCAACTAAAACGAACATAACAAGACTTAGACACGGTGACGGACGAGCGAAGGGTGGCCGTTTCAAGGCCATACCTGCATTGGGCCACCCGAAAATTCATCAGAACATATTTGATACGCAGGCTTCCCTCTTTCATAAAGTGTTTCTTCTCTTGCTGCAAAGTGCGAATGAGTGACGGGTTATTTAAAATGATAATTTATTGCTGAATATTTTCTAAATTGTTCCGAACAAAAAAAAGTAATTCTACTAAAGACCAGAGGCCCTTATATGTCGATAAATAAGTACCTTAACGGCAAAAAAGAACTAAAGCAAATCTCGATAAGGCGCCCCAAATTAATAATTTAATGAGCAGTCTGCGCAAGCAATCTAATATCCTGATCAGATTGACGAGCGAGCACCGTGAACTATTTATGCCTTATGATTTGATTTAACGGCACAAGCGTCCCTCATTGCGCACTGTACCTTAATTATCCTTTTTGTGGAATAACGCTAATATGTCTGTTGTGCTGTGACCTCTAAGCAAGATGAAAGGGTTGTCTGATTTCAATACCTTATACTGTAAATTATTTTAAATTAGTATAGCTATCTGTAATCCAGATATGTTGCTGTGTTCATTTCCTGTGCCCCTCTTATATTGGACGGGCGCGCAATTTTCAATGGCATAAGCCTCGTTTGCATTTGATTATGACCAGGGCTTCCCACTTATGGCCATTGCGACCTAACAATAATGTGTACAACAATTATTAGACTGAGCGGAGTTTATTGGACTTCGAATTAATAGGCCACTCGTGATACGACAGTTTATTAGAACGTTGCGGCGTTACGACGTCGATTCACAACTCATTAACTCTATTATGGACCCACGCAAAGATATACGGATTTTCACAGATTTGATCGTATCTCCAGAAATCACAAATGGCTTTCCACTTTTCTACCCTTCCTTAAAAACACCATAATAACAACAGTAACAATATGGGTGGTGTTCCTAGAGATGATGAATATTATAGTTATATTGATATGGGCGTTTTCTAGTACGACGGTATAGGCCTCATCTTTATTTTTAGTAGGTTTAAGTATTGGCCCCTGGAGACAAAGAGGGACCCGGGTAGCAAACCACTGATGAAAACTAATACGATTCGTTTTAACCAGGTATGCTAATAGGACTCGACACAGTATCTGTAGACCTGCATAGTTTTGCAATGACCCGATAAACAAATTCCGCCAAAGAACTGTTGAGTACAAAAATTTATTGCTAGCATAGTAGATAGAAAATTATGAAGAAAATTAAATAACCTGCTGAGCCATAACTAAAAACAAACTTATATGAACTAAGAAATACTTAACAAAAAGTTGGAATAGAGCCAATATTTCCTATTTATAATAAAACTTATGATACCTACGCCTTTGTTGCGTCCATTGGAGGAAAGAGACTTTTCTATCCGAAACTTCCTAAAATCCTAAAAACTACTCGCACTTCTGACCACGGATTTTTAGGTTTCAAAAGTAATCTTCAATTAGTAATTATGTCATCTGAGTTGATCGTCTTTCGACTCGGTGACAGGCTATATTTTAGCGCCTCAGCGCATATTGACCACCTGTTGACGATGGCACTAAGGAAAAAGGCTTTTGCCAGCTAGTTAAAAAATACTTTTAAGTACATCATACGCGCTGTGAGTAGGATATACCTAAAAGTATTTTTATTTAAATAGAAAGTATTTTTGGTGCGAACTTATGCTTTAGAGACTATAGAATATCGTTGCCTCACCATCGCTTGCACATATATGTCAGGAAATACGTTTGACACATTATCATTATTGACAGTCTGCTATTTTAAAAATTTAAAAACAAGTACCTTTAAAAATTATTGCTGAAAATGTGTAATACAACGATTGTATCGTTAAGCTATCTTCGAAGACAAAAAACAGTCTTCCATGTTTACAAAAATTTGGAAGACAATATTTAGTGAGAACAATTCGTCGTCCTTCTGCTTAGCAGCCGTTTAGGACATTTATATGTCTTCCTTTATAACCAACCAGCAACGGTTAATATATACTCATTTAAAGTGCATGCCGTAAGCTTTTTTTTAATGGTTCCGCATGTCATTCTTTTCTTCCAAGTTTTAGAGTGTTTCCCCCGAGCTTCATTATACTGCTACAAATGAAAATAGTCAGGACAATTTTCCTAGCCCAATTTTAATGCTTTATGATTTTATCGAGCAGAAAAACATTCGTTTGGAATTGGTCTAATATAGCTATCATCTATCGAAACCAAGAAACTCGGCCTTAAGATTCTCTTCTGTTAATAGACTTAATATATGCTTTGGCTTAGGCTTATTAAATATGTTGGCTACCACACGTTAGATAGACAAACCATATTAAAAGACATCTCTCGTTTCAAATTTTGTGTATGTATTAATATACAAATTATTTTTATAATTTTATAAATATTTATAAAATGAGGTTTTTATTTCATATATATTTATAAAATGCAGTGACGTACCTCGTGTCCTCCGTAGAAGGCAATCTCCTCAGCATTCGCGATTAGCCGGGAATGGACAAATCTTAAATAGGCTTTTCGTCTGGCTTCTTCAGCAACCATCTTGCCGAATTTCGGTGTTACTTTGCGCAAGATCAGGCCTGTCAAAATTACCGAACCAGTTGCTACGGCTGGACCAGGAAGGCCGTGAGCGCCCATTTCGTTGGCCATTTTGAACAAAGTGAGGGTGATGATCAGGATGTCCAGTAGCGGCTTAGTAATGTGCGAATAGAGATGCGCAACAGATGTTGCAAACGTCGTAATGTCCTCAGTTAAACAATGATCAGCATTCTCTAAGCGAGAATCGAGATTTGATACTCGGTAATATGTTTGATTTTTAAAATACAGCGAGTACGCGTGCTTTACAAGGCGACTTCTGAAAGCAAGAGCGAGTTGACCTTCAAGAAAGCGGATAAGCGAATTGATAAATGTTGCGGGAATAGCTACTAACAGCCACTTCGATAATTGGACGCCAAACTGCTGCAAGTCTCGACGCACGATATATTTTACCACCTGGCCCTCCAGTCTAGCTACATAGATTGAAAGGAAGGTTCGTGAGATAAGCGACATTGTATGCATAAGCAGAAGGGCAGCTTCTTTTGAATGTACCGACGGAATCATGATATTGATCAACGAGAGAAGTCTCGTGAGAAATTTCCTATCGAATCTCTGAAGTACCGCCTCAAGAGCTGACTGTACTGCGGGTTGCGCTGCAGTGACCTTCTGTAACCGTTTGAGTTCATCATCGGCCTTTTCGACTAGAGCTGAACCAGGTTTGCTGTTGCTCTGCTCGTGTCCTGCGCTCTGGGCAGCCCTTCGCGCAAGTGGATAAAGAATCCGGGCACCGTACAGTGCCATAAGTGCAGTGCACAAACCTCTGGATAGCGTCTCCGTCGGTATTCCGGTTTTAGCTGAAATGGCAGTCAAAAACTTGCTGAAGTTCACCATGATGGCTCTTTGTATGCAGCGCCCCGTTACCTTGTCCAAACAAAAGCTCTTTCAAGTCTGTTTCTTTAACTTGAACAGCGTATGCGCTCTGCCCAAGCTGTCCCAAAAAAAGGCAGGACCTAGCTACACATCAGATAGACGAGAACAATGCCTAAATGACGCAAGTACACACACACGTACACACTTAGCGGACGGTCTTCTCTAACAGTAACTTTTCTTCACTGGTACGATATACGAACTGCGTGGACAATGAGATCGCTCACTGATCTGCTGTCACCGGGGTGCCGTGTAGCTTGTTCCCGTACAGCATGTGCACGGGTAGTCGTAACCCTTTACTGATCGCTAGATATTGTTGCCTGTCCGGCGATGGACACTGAGGTTGCGTCGCACAACGGTGCGTCTCCGTAACGTAAGCCGCCTTTGGCCTCCACCGCCGTTGCTGCTGCTCCACTCTCAACGAAATGACAGCTCGTAACAGTCGCCGTCGGACCGAGTGGGGCATTGGCATGTAAGTAAACTGCAAGCAACGTTTGCGGCGTAACTTGCTCGTTCGACTCGCTCAATTATAGCTGCTACGCCTGGTGCGACCGTCACAGCTTCGTCTGCCGCTATTAACAACGCGACTCATTGCCTCCACGAAAAGAACGTGCTTGTACCAGTTCATGTTGCTGTAGCCAGCGCTCGAAAAACTTTGTCTGGCTGCCTATCGCCTGCTATCCACTGCGCTTACCATTTATTCCAGCGAGCAGCTACAGCGACGGGTTGCAGAGTGGCAGCGGCTGGCGTTTGTTAGTGCTGTTGTAGAAGCAGCAGTCATCCCATCCAATGCTTCTGCTTTGCCACAGTCTTTGCCCGGCTGCCGGAACAAGTCGTCGTCGTCCAATAACAAGTCACCAACAGCAGCAGGTGCAAAGCTGGTGCTCGTTATGGTAGAGAAGAGTCGACGGCTCTAAGTGACAACTTTGTCTCTGTTCTGCGATCGCTGGTCGAGCCGCACGTTGATTTGACCATCTCCACCTTTCTTCTACTCTTCGCCAGCGGCTGCCTTTCGCTTCCTATCGCCAAATGGTGTTGATGTCGTTGCCTGTATTTTGCTTGTCTACGAGCCCCATGCAGCAAAATCCTTGCCACAGGTGAGCGCTACCGCCAAGCCGTGGTAAGAGCAAGCAGGCCAATCTGTGCCCCAGGAGCTTGATTCGTGACCCAAGTAGAAACAGTAAATCGGGCCGCTTCATAGAGGGTGGCGTGGAGCAGTAACCATATCCATATAGAAAACGTAACCGATCAGAAACAGTAACAACAGCAGCAGCAGCAGCAAAACCGGCAAGAACGGCCACTTAGTTATAGCAAAGAAACAGGTCGAAAGCACAGTTTACTTTATTGGCTTCTCGAAAACATTATGCAACCTATTCAATGCGGATGCACAAGCTCTGCTTAACATTTTTATTATTTTTAGAGTTCGTGCATTTTAGCCTAAAGCCTTCGTCCTTTCCGATCACACAATCGGGTTAATTTTATCCCACCACAACGAACGAACGAGCGAGCGGAAGATCTTTGTTAGCTTGTTTTTCCAACGTTGGTGTTTGCAAGACGATCAAATTCAACAACATTCATTATAAGCCTACCAGCCATGTGTAACATAGATAGGTGGCGCTACTACTCTCTGTGAGAATCAGCTGATTTTTACTTGTATTCGGCTGCTTTGGCTTATGCTGCAAACAGCTGATGTGTCAACAATAAAGATGGCGCCGTCATTGTTGTGATCGTTTATTGTCCAAGAGGATATTGGGCAGATTTTCAGAAAAGAATACGCCGCATTGAGGCTGTTGTTGTTGTTACTATTTTTGTTAGCATTATGTGATTTGCTCACCCGATTCAACTAGAAGTTTCCTAATGAGCGCAGAGCATACAAAAGACAAAATCTGCCAATCGAGCGTCGACTAGTGCGTCCGAAGCCGACGTCTGCAAGTACCAAAGTGGTTATCGTTTTTGGGCTCAGTGGTGACGAAAACGTACGCAAGACGACTATAAAATTCGAGTATCGTGACTCAACTGACAACGAGTATCACTTATCAGAGTAATAGCCTTAACAGCAGCTCTGTCTAAGGAGATATTGTCAGAGTGCTCTCCCCGTGGAGGCCATGGAGGCCACACTGGTGGAGGGCGTTGGAGACGAAGTTTTAATTGCTTTCATTGGAGTTTTGGCACTGTTCGTCGTCATTGTAATTCAGGTAGAAATCTTTACTCTCTTTGTCTATTCATGTAGCATACATATCTGTCACAAGGTGGGTAATTCATGATCTAAAGCTAGAAGTGTTTCAAGTTTTACATGATTTAGCGAGTTGTCAGTCATTTGATTGGCAAGAAATATAAGAGTTACTTTTGTTTAAGATGAGTCACATTATCAATATTGTGTGGGCACAGATTTTTGAAAATTACAAGCCTATCTCTTAATTTCATGTACGAATGATACTCATAATGTTTCAGCAGGGCGATTGAATGCGATTGGTATTGACCTATATGAACGTGGCACGATGTATCAAGATTAATTGTATCAACAATACGATATACCACGTAAAGCCCCAAGCTTCTATTTACGTATTTACTTACGTTTCAACTAATCAAACTTTACTAGACAACGTACTTTAGCTGTATTCATATAGCCGTTTTACGCGCTTACATAACAGTTTGTTGATGCGGCCCCGCGCGATATTTGTTTTTATTGCAAACGGCTGTACATTTGACAACAACAGTAAACAATTACGCTGATGCAAAAAAAACATCAATTTATTAAGAATAGCATTTCCTTTTTTCCATTAATGATAATGTGCTCTTACATGTAAATAGATGAGTGGTAGTAGTGATGATGACTAAACCGATGACAACTTCACAAAGGCCGCTTTTTAGTGTCTATCATTTTTATATGGATTGTGTGATCAAACTATTGCGCTTCTAATTTTGGCATTTACCTCCTTTATTTAGTGGACAATCTCTCAGATATCGGAAATTATTCGGCCGATAGCAGAGACGAGAGTGAGCGATATCTCACGGGACACTACCGAAAGCACAGATCAGCTGTCTGTTCGTTGTGCTCTAGTGGAATCAAATCAAATACTATCAGAAGAAGGAGCCGAATCTGAGGCGATACCAGAAGGCACCACCGAAGTAAGTTCTTTTAGGTATGAGTTTTTTTTTCGTTTTCTCTTGATTTCAGCGATATGCTGATACTATATCTATCCTATACAAATAATAGTTTATGATATACCTGCGTGTAATTAGGAAAAACGTAAATGTAACGGTTAAAAAATAAATACTGTTGTATTCCAGATTCAAATTCGACTAAAATATTTGAATGACACAGAGCGGAACGTAGAGTGTACTCTCAGCACGAATGTGGGTGCTTTCAAAGATCGGTTTTTTCCCGAGGAACGGGAAGCTGGCAAGGTATCGTATTGATACAGGCGAATTTGGAATTCCCGAACGTAGAACAATACAAGCCTCGTAGTTGAAATGTCAGACGATTAATCCAATTCAAATCTTAACATTTGTACGAAAGAAAGTTGTTATAAACATTTGCTTTTTACATATATTTTCGAAAATATATGGCGATAAAATATTACAATAAGACTTATAAAAATTAACCGTAAGAGTACTTTTCGCAGTGTTCGTACCATCAATCAATCCCAAATTGTAATATACTAGTGAATCTTTAAATAACTGGCTCAGTATATAAGATTTAATTAACTTAAGAGAATATTAACCACGTCAAAAGCCGGCAACTTTACCACCTTACTTACCTCACTGCGAAAACGCAGTTCTACATTAAAGTAGTTCCTAATTTATTTTACCACTGACGCCTTTTTCAAAAAGCTGCTTTTATGATAGAAACATTATTCGAGGCGCTTAAAAAACTGAATATTTCGCAGATGATTCGGTTGATCTCGTGTGGAAAGTTGTTACATGACGAGTCGCTTTCGTTGCGGCATTTTGGAATAACCGAAGCAAATAACGTTCTGCATGTCCAGATCTCGAACCCGCCAGTTGTTATGACGGCGCAGGTTCAGCAACAAATGGTAAACATTCTATGTAATATTGCCTTTATTTCTTTTCGTTGTCTTACCACAGAGGAAATGGTCACAATGGACATTACTTTCTGCCATCATTGATACTAAGGTACAGTCCGATATTCTGCCTAAATCCATTTGTGGCTAGTTTTCGTTTAAACTGACACTTAAAACATTGTGTAATTAATAATCAACGCGTTTAGACAAAACTTAAATATTATATCAGTTCAGTCGCCGTCATCGAAGCGAGCAACTCAGAAGCGTTGGCAGACATTACGTGCTGTCTTCGCTATATGGCCAATGACGATTAGAAAATATCGAATTGAAGATCGTAAAAATTAACTACTACGAAACATATGTGGCAGTTTATTAAAAATGTGCTCTAAACTTTTCTCGTAAGGTAGACTGTACATATTTCGTACTTCGAGTGTGAAAGTCGTATTGAATATATTATATTTGGATCTGATTCGAAAACGAGGAGCAAATAGCGGATAAATTCAAGGCGCACTGTTACTTCTGCTCCTATAAATTTTAGGCCTATCGTTTACTTAATGAGTAATGTTAATAAAAATAGCGTTTCTTTTTCCTCAGGCCTCGAACGTATCGCCTGTCGTCTCCCGATTAGAGGCGAATATTGCTTCTCTCGCATATCTCGTACTTGGTGCCATGCTTGTGCTATTCTGGTTAGTTGTTTAATAACGGCCTTTTATTGAATGTAGCGATAGCTGAAGCATAATTCTATTGTTATTGAAGGGAAAAGTTGGGACAGAAAATGTATTGAAGGGGTTTGAGATTCAATGTCTGAAAGCAACGTATAATAATGCTTGTGTATCCCCAAACTGCTCTGAGTCATTGAATCGGATCGTTTGTTGCTGAGGTGGCAGCCAGTGAATCAAAATGGCAAGAGCAGAGTGAATGCGTTAGATGAAATCGAACAGCGCACGCGCCGTGTAATGTAGCTAGCAAATGGTAATGTATACGTTACTATGAAAGTGGCATCAATTGCCACAACTTGAATGGGACACTTACTTATCGTTACATAATGACGTGTTGCTCTATTGATTTCATTCTAGGTACGTGCACTTTCAGTACCGTGACCTGTTCACGAACTCTGCGACGACAGCCCTTGTCGGCATTTCCGGCTTGTTCTGCGTTTTCGTGTTTGCGCCTTCCCAACCACTGCCATTATATTTTCACACCGTAGCACAACAGCTCGCTCCGGAAATCTAATTGATGTTAAACCAGTTTGTCCTGAGCCTCCATCTTACCCCTCGAAATGCTTAAAAGTTTTTTTCTTGTAATTACCTCAGCACTTTCTTTAACTGTTATTATGATGATTTGCCATTACGCACCAAGCAAGTCAACGACAACGATAAAAGTGACAAATCATTCATAGACTTATACGAAGCCACGACCAAAATAAGATAATATATGTTCAGCACTATTATATGCTTCGATTTCGAAACGTAACTACTAAAACGCAAAATATAGGCATATTAAGTAGTGGCAATTTTCAGGGCAATTGATCGAGGCGCAATGAATTCGTTAGAACTGAAAGGTTTGTAGCAGTGAAGGGCACGTGGACAAAGTCATGGGGAATGCGCTAAAATATGGCGGATAATATTGCATGAGTATGGTGTCAAAGCCATCCTTCGACTGAGATTAAAAGGAGACACATTTCCTTTAGTAAAAGTTGCCAGTTATTTCGAACGGCACCCGTCTACCGTGGGACAATCATTTGTTTCTGTGGATCTGCAACACGATTTCTGTCATATCGTGGCTGCAATATCCGGTGAGCGGCACATGCCCCAAGAATTGATCGGAATAAATGTTTGCTGGAAACAACATAATTGAGAATTTGAACTGATTTCAGAATAATCTGATTGTGACTAACGTTATCTCGACGGTGATGAGGAGGCGTAAAAACATCGGAATGATACTGTCAGTTTGATTTCAGAAGACAAGCTAACCCACCTTCCAAAGACCAGCAAAGTCGGACGATTCATTCACATGTTCTCCTTTAGGTTAGCCAACTTGAATGCTAGTAAAGTTGTTTGTGCAGATTTGTCAATGTCTATATATATATATATATATATATATATATATATATATGTATATACACATTGACGGTTGAAGGCTTTTCTGAGCCATTCTGAGAAAGTATTGCAAAGTAAATCCGTTTTTTTGCACAAAACTGAGTTAATTTCTATGAAAGATGATTGTGACTATTTCTAACTTTTATTGAATTAAACGGCTAGGATTAAGAATTCAACCTAGGGACAGATCGAGGATTTTGTGTGCCATGTTAAGCTGCGCCACAAAACGACTATCGTAGTTAAAAAAAAACATCAGCAATAACACTAGTGGCAATGACAGCAACAATGCAACAAGTGTGTCAAATTATTTTTATTTTATTTTACGGTTATCCTTGTTCAATAGCTTTTATCAACTGAACTAACTTGATCTGTACTCAGCGATACACACGCATATGAGTGAAATAACAACAATGCACACGTTAACTGAAGACTGGTTAAGCATTTTGAAATTGGCGATTAAAATAGTCGTGGTGATCTGCAGCACTTCTCTGCAAAAGCACCCGGTGGGCCCAGTCGGCCTGCGCACAGCAAATAATAAGAAAAAAAAGAACTTAATAAAATTCAATCAGTCAGAAAGAAAGCTACGTTCGTTATATTTTTATTTAATTCTATGAGGACAACCATTCAACTTATCGTTAATTTTCTTTCACTACCTTTACTGTCATTTGTGGTCAATAACTAATAGTCATTCCTAATCATAGTTTTTCAGCGTAAACATTGGGTCCGTGTAAATCCGCCAAAAATCTATAGCCACTCTAAGTATCTGTCCCCGATGAGACCAAAGAAACCTTTGAACGCGTTATAATCGGAGAAAGTGATCATGAAGAACATAGCACTATTGAATCAAGCCTTTGCATTTTATGATGACTTCTGTTAATCGAAGTTACTTAGAAGAACACTTTTTGAAACGGAAAATGCATCGTACAGACCAGCCTTCACCTGATGGCCTGGAAAACCTATTCAGTGCGTCGCGCTAAAAGTGGAGAGTTCTGTTAATTTGATCTAAGTGATAGTCTCCAGACGATATCATTATTAAACGCAAGATGACGTAGGGCAAACTGGTCCATGTGCACCAGTTTGATAACATAACTAGAGTTGCTTACGATAAGTCATCTGTGGAAACACGGACAGTAGATTATTTGGATTCGTGGCATGATGTTCCTCCGAGAAAACACAATCATGTCTCTTAACTGCCTTCTGTCTAGTTTTTAGGGTAAAATTCAGCTTCAAAATGGAGCTTACGAAAAGAAGCCGAAGATCTAAAGCAACTGAATATCGCTGATCAGACCGCATTAAAAAGTGGCTCCACGTATGTATCTAATCAGGCAAGTAATATACTATTTGAAAAGATATAAGAAATGTGTAAGTATTGTATTACCTTGTTCTTGGTACGGTCTTAATTTGCATGCGATTCTTATATTGTACAGGGATTGTAATATGATGGAACTAAGATTATAGATTATAGATAGTATTATTTAAATACTGAATTGAAATTACAGTTAGGGAATAGTTAATATCAGTCTAAATTATAGATGCGGGGTTCTTTTTAATAATCGCGTATTATTCATGCACAAGAAGCATGCACGGCACACCTGAAGCAATCCTCCGCGCGCCTCTTACACGATTTCGTGAACTATCTGAACGTCCCGAATTTTACGTACATTCCATTAGATGACTGGCTCCCAGCACCAAACCAAAGTGTGTTTATGCCTATATTTGAACCTACACCATTATGCGTCCCTAACATTAATAAGGAAATATGTTATATGCTAAGCTATAACAATAATTCTCTGTGCTACATACAGCAATATTGGCGGGCCAATTTTCTAACGCGCGGAAGCTGGGTTTTACGGATAAGTTTGGCGCGAAGTGTGTAATCTGAGTGACTCGTTTAGTGACTGTTTTCGAAGTAATTTTCTAACGCAATTTAAATACAAGAGTGAACAAGTTGTCAAATCGGGTAGTAGTCCGAAAACCTGGAAGTGAGGACTGTTCTAGTTCTGGCTTTTTGCAGTAAATATGCCGGTCAGTGAAGCCCGTTACGCACACTGTGATGGCTTTACTGAGGGAGTACGTTTTAAAGAAAAGTACGTTAATTTTTTAATTGATTTCTATTTTTGTTTTCTCTACGAAGTAAGTATGCGTCGAACTTGGCTCACGTTTAGTCGGTTTATTGCAAAAAATAATCATGGCTTTTCCCCTAAAGTGGTGCTACGAATGCGTATTTGCGTACGGCGGTGCTGCATTTTAGTGGATGCGTTATCCTTTGTTTATTATCTTTGTTGTTTAGTATTATTTTAACCCTTTGAGGGTATAAGTAATATCGCAGTTAAAAAACTGGAAGTCGAGTACGTTAAGATACAGGTGAAGTCTGTTTAAGAATACTTTAGGAACACGGATATATACAAAACTTGCAAATAACAGAACTACAGTTTAATTTTGAATTTGAACGAAAGCTTTTTTGTCAGTGAGTTCTTATCTTTTTCTGAGCAGACCTGTTGATATCCGCTTGAGAATCACCTCTAAGTGAGATTACACCTTCATTTAGGGAAGCTCCTTATTCTGTGAAAGTTTTGCTGGGCTTTATTGAAGGACTATAATCTTCTTTCTGTTTCGTAAACTACTTTGTCATTTGCTCTTGGTTCAATTAGAACGATATTTCCTTTTGAAAACAGTATCAGTCATACCAGATATAATAAGATATGCTTAGATCCACTTTAAACCATGCGGTGCCCATTACTCCATTCTTGTAAGGATGCGCACTCAACCCACTACCACGTAGCAACAAGGATGTCGGAATCGAAAGCAGACAATTTGTCGTCGGAATGGTTTTGATAGTACTTTGTGTAACCAATGTAATAGCTATAGAAATAACAAGATTAATCATAATGGACAGTTACGTTGTAACATGTGGAGCGGACGGCGAAATGCGTATCTGGGACGCTCAAACTATCCTGGAAGAAGGTCCTCTCAGCATCACTTTTGGTAGCCACTGCAACTCCGTCGTTGTACAGGTAGGCATCTGCTTTGGAAATACAACAGGATCTCGAATATCTATGGATAAGCGAGTCACCCTCGATCTGCAGCATCCTCAAAAGCCATGAAGTCGCTTGCAAGCATTGCTGTGGATGAACATTGTAAACCATATTACTCTCGGGACTGTTCTCACATGTGATGACCGCTTTAGTGCGCTAGCTACCCTTTTCTTAAATACAAAAGAGCTGTTCACAGCCATTAAAGAGTCGAGTTTGCTTCAGAACGCGGATACTCGTCCATAATATATAGAGAAAACTGACTATATCTGGCTAATTAGATCAGAAACTTTGCTATGTGTTGACTTCTAATGCTTTCCTTGGTCGATCGTTCTGTTTGTGGTTTTTTCACAGGACGACGACCTTCTGTGCGCTATCGATGGATTTCGCGTTAAGAAAGTATCCCCTTTGGGAACTGCTGGAGAGCTATTATCTGAAGCAGAACTTGAGCCAAGGACTTTTAGAAACTTTCAAGCCGAAGTGCTCCATCTTGCTGCTTCTGGCTTCATGGTACTCGCTTGCCTCGCCAATGGAACAGCTGTATTATGTAAAGAATCCGAGAGGTCCTCCGACATTATTTTGGAAGGTCATAAAGCTGCGGTTCTCAGCGGTGCACTGACTCAAGAAAAACCGCTTGCGGTGAGTCCAATGGGGTTAAATATTTTTAGGTTATCAAACTGATTAATTTCCCTCAAGCACCAGATATCGTATATACCCATCAGAATGGAAACGCCTGTGCTACTACTGATAAAAAAAAAACAGCTTTATCTTCATGTATCTAACTAAACGTGTACCTAGCTGACGTCCATATCAAACAGAAAGGCCTACCTTATGAAGATTTTTTCCTAAAGACCACGATTGATTACTATTGTTTACGTTATCAGGCGACAGCAAGTTGCGATGGTTCGGTTCGACTATGGTCAACGAATGATGGCCGTTGTGTGAAGAAACTTGAGGATCTTTTTACATCGCAGGACGGTGTGGATTGCCTCCAAGAGATCACCAGGTATCACCGACTAGCGTTTTTGAATGATGGAAATTTACTTCTTATAGCTGGTGAGAGAACGATCAAGGTCTACGAGATGACAACGTTTACCGTCGAGAAGGAAGTTGACATCGATGAGATTATTGATGATGAGGAAGTTATTTACGCAATGACTACAGGTAGGTTGTTGACCATATAGATAGAAAGCTGCTTATAACCAATTAGGAGGACCGAAGCTTGTGGGCTGTATGCATTTTGTAATTGAATTCTGTTGAGCTCTAACTCGACGGGACTCATTTTGAGTAAATAATTTAGTGTTATTTAGACTCACGTTCTAGAAATGAACTTTAAATATTGTGCGTACTGCATCAGATAAGTTGCATTCTCTCAAAATCTATCCGCATTAATACATTGGAAATATATGGAACTAATAATACCGATAGTTGTCAATGTATCGCTTTACTATTTGAGTAGTCGTACGTTCCTTGTATGATAAACATTAATACTGGTTTACCGCAGACATGGCGTGTATTTGCCGTTAAAGGTATATGGGTACATTTAATATACGGAAATATATATGTTAAATACATTAATTTCAGGAGGATCTTAAGTCTTTGTCTTGTAATTTTTTTAGATGGCTTTCGTGTCGGTGTCTCTACAAATCAAGGACTGGTAAATGTTTATTCTCTCCCCGAAATGGCACATATATGGAGTCACAAATTCGACGACACTGTTACTTCGATCATTTTGCCGCCATCTAACCAGGCTGCTTCCGCGCCACTCATTCTCCTCAGCGAAAAAGTGAATAAGACTATTGTAGCTAAGAGCTGACTCCTAGCAAATAGCTAATATATGTTTTAGTTTATTGCAGGGAAACATACAATTCAGGGATAATCCAGTTTGGACGTGATGGTGGTTCTCCAAAGTGAGCTGTTCCTGTAATAGCATAGTCGTTAACGTATTTTCTGTTAAATTTAAACACGTGGTAGTTAACGTTGGAAACTAGACGTAGACACACTTTGTTTCATGGTGAGAGAAATCAGTTTGAGGTAATATTTAACCGCTTAAGAACTGAAGGTAAAACAGTTTTTTTTTAATTTTTTCTTTAGGGTGAGTTGACGTGTGCTACAGGCATAGGTTTTCAATCTGCGCTTGGAAATGGTGCTGCTTCGTCTTCCGCTGAAGGAAACATGAAAGAGGATACGTTCGATCCAAATGAAGAGATCTTAGCAGGCAGTGGTATCGACCGTTCCGGAGGCGACGGGGCGTCACGGAAGAGAAAAGCTGCTGAAATGGATGGAGTGCTTGATAATGAAAGCATTGCCAGGAACGACACAAACGAAGACGTTGATGATGATGGAATTGGTAAGTGGGCACATCTTTCAAATCAAAATTTCACGTTATTAACTGGGCATGACTTCCTCTTTCGATACATTTCATCAGTTTGTGAGGTGTAATTGCTTATCCCTAACGGCTCTTCCGAAACATCTGCATTTCTGCTGCGAAAAACCTATATGCTAAAAACATATATTTTTTAGCAATAACTATTATTATTATCAACTGTTTCAGATCTAGGTGCCATCAAGTCGTCATACATGCCAACAATTCTTGGCGAAGATGTTGCTGATACTGAGGAAAATGGATCGCATCAACGCGTTGTTGTTCGTGAAACCGTGAAGACAATTCACGTAAAAGCTTTTTGCCAGAAACCTTTTCAGGTATCTGTTAAAGCAATAGGAATACAATGTCATCTTAAGCGTTATATTTTTGGTGACTCTTTATAGTTTAATGCGATAATAACAATTTCATTATGTCGAAGCTTCGTGCCGAAATGAGAACTTCTTTTAATTTTACGCTTCTTCGCTTGTATACTTTATCGAGGTTGGCCATCCCAACTAACATTTTTGAATCCTTGTATTGACTGGTGATGTAGTTGCTCAATATTCATCCATCCTACACATTTCTATGATATTAATCAGCAATACATATACATATATATATATATATTGCTGATGATATATATAGACAATAGAAGGATCTTGCAGATGATTTCAGTACTCTTCAACTTTACTGACTTGAAATTATTTTCCAGGTAGGCGAAGCTCATGAAATGGCTGGGCATGGCGACTGTGATGAGGATGACAATTTTGAGGAAAATACTACTCAAGAGCGAAGGTGGGTTTTGCTTCAATTTTATATATATATATATATTAAAACTGTATATATGTTAACTAAAAAAAAAAAAAAAATATATATATATATATATATATATATTATACCGATAACGAGCGGACAATCAACAGGTGTCCAACACATTCATTTTCATTCGTAATTCGCAGATTCCTCACATACAATCACGTAGGATTTGTGGTATGCTCTCTCAGCACCGAAGAATCCTCGATAGACGTCGATTTCCATAACTCGGCTGACCGTCACCCATTAACGTTGCCAAATAAAGGTTATACCATGGCTGCTCTAGATGGCCACGCATTAGTGCTGGCTTCAGAGAACGAAATGATGGTTTACCTATTGGAGCCTCATGCTGGAGAAACGAATAGCTGGGAAGTAGAGGTCAAACATGATTCCATTGTGGGAGTAACACTCGGACCGACATTTGTTGCTATGGCCACGCAAAATCAACTTCTTAGGCTCTTCACTCCTGGAGGAATGCAGAGAGAAGTTCTAGGTTTGCCCGGACCGCTTTTATGCATGGTAGGTGCATCCATGTTTAGCCTTCGAGCACAAGAGCTCAGACCACAGGATAATTTGATGGTGTTCTATCATAACGGTACCGGCTTGGATGATCGGCAGAACGTTGCTTGTATGCGATTGAAGATTTCTTACAATGGAGTGACTGCACGTGGAGCCCATATTCCGGTCGGACTGCCAAGAAAAGTTCGGATGGTCTGGGCTGGCTACAGCGAAGAATTTCGACCTAGCTATATGAACTCGAAGGGAATCCTTTTTGTCTATAGCGACAAAATGTGCGGATGGTACCCGGTGTTCGATAGCAAAGAGAAGCTCGGCCATACAAGCTCTTGTTTCATGGTGTCTATTGGCGAGCGATACAATCGCGTGTTGTACGTCTTGTGCAAGAAATGGAGCCCCAGAGTGCGTCCCCTGCCGGTTATAGTCAAGGAAAAGTTACAAGCGCCTCTTCTGGATGTGGCCAACGATAAGGTCCAATTGGAAGCTCGCTATTTACGATTGCGGCAACTACCTTCGCAGGAAGTCGAAACCGGCAAGGCAAAGTTGACCCTGCAGATGTTCGCTCTTGCTCTGAAATCCGACCGTCTGACGCGGGCGGCTGATATTATTCGTATGGAATCCTCGCACAAGTATGCAAATGCCCCTAACAAAAATTATACTGTAAATAGTATCAAGTTATTTAAGCTAACTGTACGCAGTATTTTCTTTTTCGATGTACATTAATAGAGATACCGTATAACAAGGAACCTATCTTCTTCTACATGGCGTCCTTAATAGCGCAATGTGCCATTGATCTTTTTTCCAGATCGCATGTTTCTTATTCTTTCTTTCATAAAAGGTTTTTAAGAATTGATGTTACGGCAAAGCGGTATGACAAAGGAAGTCCAGCTTCTATAATATTAGATTATTTTATGTCCCGTGATTGTTTTAACTATAACGACTCAAAGATTGTTTCAAGCTCACAAGGTAATATTTATTAATCCGCGAACAAATTATTTAGGGAAACCCTTCAGCTTTTTATGGAGTACACAGACGCATCGAATCGCAATAATCGCTACGATGGTCTACAAAAGTTGATAAGAGAATTCCTCGGGGAGGCTGAATCAGAGGACGAGGAAGACGCTGCTGAGGATCCAGCGGACGAAGAAGAGACCTTGATGATGGACAGCGCAGAAGTTATTCGAACTTTACCTGAAGAACCGGTAGCACCCATCCTTGCACCAAAGCGAGTTGTTTTGGGACCACTTGGTGCTTCAGACAAAATTAACTCCGGCAAAGCAGACTTTAATCCTTTTAAGAAATCTGAGACCTGTAAGTTCAGTCAACAGATGGATGCTCACTTACTGTTAAGACGAGTTATTTTGATGCGTACACACAAAATGCATTTGTAGAAAATGACTTTGTATCGGAAAACAACGCTAATAACATAATTTTCTATATTTGTATCAGCCGCACCAAAGGCTATGAGGACTGGAAATCTAGACGAGATTCTTTCAAAGAAAATCCCAAAACCTGCTCTTGCGTTATCCACCAAAGAGGTTCCTCGGTTGGCGCCCAAACAAATTAAGTTGCCGTCAACGTCACTGACGACGAAAAGTGGTTAGTAACTGCCTAGGTAATATAAAAAGTCAGTCAATTATGCAAGGGGTGTATCATTTTTTGAAAGCCGCATGTTGTGAAAACTTTGGCTCGGCTCACCATAGTCTCTTTCATACTTGTTAATATTTTAGAAGTTGGTTAGATTGGTGCTTTTGAACTATGCATTAGATCGTAATAATTATTGCCACCGAACGACTATTAGCTTTTCAAAACTATGAGGAAGTTCTGTGTAGAGTCTCTATTAAGGTAAATATAATATTAGTATAGGCAAAACGCTATACAGCACAAAATAATTGCCATAACATTTAATACAAAAATAACATATAATAGCACTAGAAGAAGCTAAGAAGAGGGCTTTATATTAAGCTTGTTATATTCGGGCTAATAATTTGAGATGTGAAACAACCTTGTGTTGAACTCACCAGCCTAAATAGGTGTTCTGAGTTGAAGTACTGCCATTAAATATTGGTTCAGCAGGCTGCCTGCCCGCACGAAACGAATTGTCTTTACTGCCGGTCCCCAACTAAGACGACCTCACGTGTCTCTAAATTTAGTGTGCAAAAACACGTTACCACCACACTGTTATAGGCGCGCGCGCGCCCGCCAACCTGCGACTGCCGGAAAGCAGCTAGGTTAATCAAAGAATGTATGCATTGACATTAAAATGCGGTGGCCTACAACCAATTTATTTGTTCTGAAGTAAAAAAATATCGTTTAGTTGCAGACATATTCTGTTCAATCTCGGTAGGTGTATCGTTTGGCACTGCTGACAAGCGCAGCCCGCTTGAGTTGTATATGGACGATGTCATCGAAGAGCTTAAAAGAGAATGTCGCGATGGAGACAACGACACTTGGCTCAAGATGGCAGCTCAAAGGTACCGAGCGTTGACGTCAGATCAACGAGCGGCCTATATCGAGCTCAGCAGAAATCCGTCAAAACGAGCACGGGTGGACATATCGTGAGACGTACATATTACATAGTGAAATGCGAAATGTGTAAAAGTTTGAGCGAAACCTATTAATAGGGTTAACATGTTTGTTTATTGCCAGGTTTCCATATTTGCACCTTCTATAAATAGGAAAACATTTACTTTGACTTTTCGAAAAATACGTATTAAAATTTAAATTTTTCTCATTTTTTCCAATAAAAGTAAATGGTTGATACTCAAGAGAAATTTCGCAGGTAATTTCTATAGAGTTTTCATTAATTTTATCTTTTATTCCGTTTCATTTTATTTGCTGTAAAAGTATATGGCAAAATTGTAGGAAGATTATGAAATATACTGATGATAAATGAACGATAATGTGTATACCGAGATAAATAAAATGAATATAAATAAATATACTGTTGTAAATAGTGGTCATGTGTATTATTTTCAGTTGCGATCAGCGACTCGCTTTTCTTAAATCATGCAAAGTAAAACACCACAGGCGTATGCTCTTGTTGAATTTGCCATAAAATGTATAACCAGCAAACCTCTCCGCATAAAAACACGTTACAGTAACCTACTATGAAAATCACCGTTTGTTCATGATTGAGAGGATTTTTTTAAATTGAATACTATATCCAACGTATCATGGGCAATTCTTGATGATATATTTAATTAACAAAGAATTACCTAAGCAGGTCCTAAAATACTTTCTATTTTGATGGAAAATAAGACCATTCATAAAAGAGATCCATATTTATTGATGGAAAACCAACGAGCCAATTAGACGATTAAGTCGTAGGTTGATACACTAGATTTCTGTTGTCTATGTTTGACGCACCCAAAAAGAGGACTAAAAATTAAGGTCTAAAACGCTTGGTGTTTTTTGGTACATGCTTTAATATTATACATAGCAGGTTACCTAGAATGGCTTAGAAATCCGTGCACAGGATGAAATCTAGCAAATAATACAGCAAATAATAGCAGATAAGTTTTTTTTACCGTATCATGCGCAGTGTTGATAAACTTAATCGGTTTGATCAAGAGCTAATGCGTTGCTTCTTAATAAGTTCTCACTCATTGATCAAATTATGTCCAATTGAGAGTCGTTAGTTTTGTTAATTATGGTTTTTAGAAAGGTATAGAGAACTCAACAGCTTTTAAGCATTCTAGTTAGTAGCCCATTTGTGTCATGTTAGTTGTTTTCCCAATTCCCATATTCCACCAGCTTAGGCACATATTTGGTCCCTAACATGCTGTAATATTTTAATTAAGAAAGGCGTGGAGTGAGAATTGACTTGTAGACGTTGACCTTTATCTTATGTGAGTTAAGATATATTTTTTTATTAGAAAATAGATGGCCTAACCTATTTTCGGCTTTTCATGATTTTTCGTTATCCACCATCTAGCCTTATAAATACATCTCTAATATTCGCACCGTGAGAAAGTGTCTGTTATATTTCCTAACGCATATTGCTCGTTACAACGGATTTTCGGAGATCCAAAGATTCCACCTTCACATCACTCCAGAGCAACAAACAAGCCTATCAACGATGTGCCTATCAAATGGGCTTGTTTAGTCATGATTAATTCTTGATACTCTTTGGGCCCTGCTTTATTATTTGCGTTTTATACTAGCTATGCAAGCGTTCTGGAATCATTTGTTCCCTCAGAGTTTTGGAATGCATAAAACATGATCAGGTACATAGTGAAGTCCAGTTTGCATATACTCCAACGTCGCCATAATACTTTATTTGGGGTGTTTTGATGTTCATCAACGAGACTCGCTGATCAATAGTAACGTTCACCTCTTTCCTCGGATAGAAACTAGGCAGCGTTGCTGCTGGCACTTTGAACAGCTATGAGATTTCTCCTGAGAAATTACTTGCGAATTTCAATCATTTCAACATTGGGCATTGAATTAATTTGTTGTTTCCTCATTCACATGTAGGCAAACGATTGACGAACATCAAATACGTATTGATTAATAGATTTTTGAATCATTTGTGCGCTTTATCTTTCATTCTCGATACCAATGATAAAGTCACTGTGGCATAGAAACAGTACAGGTGTGTTCTAGTGGAATACTGGTCTAGCGCCGTCGTATTCAATAACTTATAACTTATTTTCGGCTATTTTAAGGAAGATTGTATTCGTGTTAACCTTATCATCTTCATTAATGGAACTGTTCTGCGTTTTCTAAGATGGGACAAAACTGTCTTGTTAGTGAAAATTAAAGGTGCATTAAATTTCAATTGTTCTTTCTCGTTTAGTATGTTTCTCTAGCGGAAGCTTTACTATTCAATTTTCTGTTTTTTTTTTTTGCAAATTATACAGAGCGTTATTTGCTACATCTTTTGAGATATATTTCTGGAACTGTAAGAAATTGCATATCCTACTCCTAGGAGAGTCTTTTTTCGTATCTATAAAAAGTTACAGAAAAGTGGGCATTTCTTATATCGTATGCGGGCATCTTATATGGAGCGGGAAAATGTGATTTTGTTTCATAATCGTTGATTTTATTATAAAACACAATGATGTACCTTTTTTATTATTTCATAGGAGCAGACTGTCCTGGAAAATTTTTTTGCTCAATGGTACTACTAATTACGCTGATGATCAGCAATTTTTCTAGTTGAATTAAAACTCGTAGAGAATACGATTTATCCTGTGATGTCCTAGCAGATTTTTTAATAAAGAAGAGCAGAAGGCCAATTACTCTATTGCGCCTGGCATAGCCCATAGTCGGTCAGCAACTCATCTTCAAGATATTTGCTAATTTTTAGATTTAGATTGCGATTGATCATCAAGCTCATTTAGTCTAATGATAATTGTGAATTTTTCAAGTTGACAAAGTCAAAGCCCTTTATGGATGACTGGTAACGGCGTAGATCATTTCATATAAGGTTTCATAACCTCACAGGTTGTTGGACTGTAGGCTGCATATGACATTTTTGACATGGTCATTGTAATGTTATGATTTTATTTCCAGTTAAATATGCGTCCTTTAGAAGAATCTGTTCGTTAGCTAAACGCATTATTTTTCAGCGAAACGCTTAACTAAACTTTTTCAAAATTTTCCTCATTGGTTATTACTATTATTCCTTGAAGACTCGCGTTTCAAATAGTGAGCAATGTGCACGTAAGAACAACCATATCGATAACATTAACTTGTAATATTATGTTCGTGTAATTTCAGCATGAACTTATAACAAGAAACGTGACTTACCGACAATAAGATCCAATATCCATACTTTTGTAAATATATATAGCAATAATTACGAGGCGCAGCAGCATTTCGTACCGGATTTACTGCTTCTTCTTATCAGAGTGTCCTACAAATGTTTCGGATAGATTTTTTTTGTATTCTAAATATGAAAACGGGTTTCCATATTTCAAGTGAAAATTTTCTTCATAAAGCTAGCCCTACATAATTTGTAAAGAACGTAAGTTCTTTGTTCTTTTATTTTTTATCATTTTATTATACGGGCCAGGTTACTTTTTAGACAAATTATATAAAATTTTCTTTTGTTGTTAGTGAATCCTCAGAAATATACTCAGCGCATGTGATTCTCTATGGATCCATAGAGTTCTATTCCAATACCTTTACACGCAAGGCCATAGCGGACTGCTTTATATACGAGTCAGCAATATTAGAGGACAGAGTCCAATTATTAATTATCCACTGTGCCCCCCCCCCGACGACATCTGCGACGGCATCTGAAATTTCAAAATTATTTTATTTGAAATGAACTTGCTTTGAGCTGGTGCTAATTGAGTGTTTAGATCATTCGAGTTGTAGAATACAAGGTAGATTCTCCTTACTTCTGGACCCGAAAAACAATAGGATTTGTTCTAAGTTTCTTCCCCGTTTCTCAGTTGCTCCTTATCATATTATTTGATTATTCTAAATTTCAATTATATGGAACCTGTTAAAACAAGCTCAATATATTCTCGCTTATGCGAGCTTCTTCGAGTTCGAGTGCTATTTACGATATTTTTATTTCATTTGATTTCATACTTGTAAAAGTCTATGGCGTGTACAACGACACCGCTCATTGCAACTAGCTAAAGAGTTCTCGAAAAGCGACTAACTCCGGTTTTTTGTTTTCTGTCTGCATTGGGCCCCGTGGCGTAACGCCACTCCGGCTGTTGCTCACAATCAGAACGAATGGTATGCAGACTCAACCATTCTGGCTGGTGGCGACTGATTGGCCAATATGTTGTATTAATGTAATAGGGCTATGCAACGGTAGGTGAACCCATCCGACAACTCTCGCATCGTCGGTTCCAGGTATTGGTGTTCTCGGTGCTGCTACTGCCACTGTCGTTGCTCGTTCTATAGACTGACCAACCTCGCGGATGCGTTGGAACTCTGTAAGAGCCCCGTCCGTCTAAGGCATTGAAACGGCGCCAGAGCCCGCGTCTTTCATCTAAACGGGTTGAGCGTGCATGCCTGAGAAACAGCACCCGAATTAGCCGGATCAGGGAGGCCTCTAGAACGAGTTCCTTTCGGATGCTAAGAGGAGACCTGTGTCTTCCGGGCTGTGCTGCTATCGTGGTCTCCTGTCACTGTTGATGATGGTGTTAGTAGTAATTCTGCGATGCAATATCCGCCCTTTTCACCCGGCTCCGGGTTTACCCTAGAACTGCTGTAGTCGCTGACTTGGGTCTGGTGGCAGCGCATAGAGACTTACGCCGACTAGTTCATGTTTTTAAAACCCTTCGGTGCGAACAACGTTGCCTTAGCAGGGTTATCCAGCTACAAAACCTCGCAGACTACGCGACCTGCTTGCAGACGACACAACACGCTCTGCCTTTTCGAAGGAAGTCTTCCGTAAGTCGTAACCTAGCTTGTTACTTGGCGTTATCTTTTGACTAGCAGCCTTGATCTTGCAATCAAATGGCGATATACGAGTACATCGTTAAGCTTGTATAATTCCCTTAAGTGGAAAGCCAACTTAAAACGACATTAGCAGAAACTATACAGGACGAATTATAGATGTTTCAAGTGCTAAGGTAAATATGCGTGTGGTTTTTACACCTTGAGAGATCTATCACCCTAGAGGATCAATTCTGAATTAAACCAATGAACGAGCAAAAGGATCGCTGTTTCCGTGGTTTTTAAAACGATATACTAATAGCTAGCTGTGCCGTGCTATGACTGCTTGTCCTGTTCGGGTGGTTTCAGAAGGGGAACTACTAGTGTTCTTGCGACCGTCCTGCTAAGGTCAAGCCGCTCCTTGCGGGAGCTCAGCTTTGTAATGTTCCATACTAAGTGATATGCTGCCATGTAATAGCTATTGTAGACTATATCGGGGCATCCGTTTTTACCGGTTTCCCTATTCTTCCCAGGTCACAGGACCTATCGCTTAACCTACAGTAGCGGCAGCAGTGACTTGAGACGCTCAACCAGGCAGCTTTACCAGCGAGTGTGATCCCTCCCTTTTCGAGTCCTATGCAGTTTATAGTCAGTTGCGTAAGTCCTCTTCCAAAAGTAGATACCTAGACTGCTCCGTTCATTCGAAAAAGGACCGGGTGCCATTTAGATAGAGAGCCACCCCTATTGTTCGCACGTAAACGGCGGCACTCAGTCACGTGCACTATAGGAAATTCGAAAGGAAGTGTTATTTGACCAAATGCATGAAAACGTGTGCGGGGAGTGCTGAAGTCGTGAGGTTAACTGGACGTGGTTAAATCTTTAGCTTGGTTAATGCAGGAACAACAAAGACATGCATAAAGGATACCATAACTAATCCTACCAGTATAACATATTGATGCGTCAGTGTGAGCGTGTCACAGCGCCAACCTTCTCGTGTTCATGCATCCTTAGGGTGTCGTAAGTATTAATTTGAAGAAAACTTCTTCCTGTACGTCGTACAAAGATAATTCGGTGGAAAATAGTTTTATGTTGGAAGAAATTATTCGTTGGCAGTCACTTAACTTGGTTTTCGATATTCGTAACCGCGCTAACAAAAATACTCCGACTTCCTTCTTTTAGATACCAAAAATATAGCTGAGAACTGCAAGCTATGCAAATCTTAGCGGATAACATCTGCCTGCATCTTAGACATAAGAGCGTGGAATTTTTTATAGCTTAAACCAAGGAAAATTATTTGGAGTTAATTCAGAGTTAGAACGACTTTGGTGTAGACACCTAGACAAACTCACTTTCAAGTAACGAAGTAAATTATAAGAAAGAACAGCTAAATTCTGCATAAATAGCCCAATGCATTTGCCGACCGGTGTCTAATCCCATTTACTATTCAAAGGAACAGAGCCGACACGACCGACTTAACTAATATTCAGCTAAAACGACATTACTTTCTTTTCGTCTGGAAAAGGCAGAACTTTTACAATTAGCTGTTTTACACGTAATGCTAAAGCGTCACCAAACAAAAAGCTTTTTCTTATGATCCCATTATATGCTTGTCACTCTGGAGCCACCAGAGTGCACATCGGGAACTTTGTTCTATATTTGATCATGTATTCTGGATCACTATGATGTATTCCTCTATGAGCATGCGCTGGATTCTTGTTATCCTTTGATATCTCGGTATACCGTATTGTGGATAAACTGAAGATGCCTTTAAACAGGTACTTCAGCAAAAAAGCAACTCGCAGCCCATCTAAAAAGCTCTGCGCTTATTTTCTGTTTGCAGTCTCAGCTGAACCAATACGCCAAATTTAATCGTGTTTCCTACAAGGTTTTTGTTTAAATTTACAATCATTATATGATTTCCGCAAGCGTTTAAAGAGACAATACTTGTAATAATTGATCCTTTCTAAAATAATAGTAAAGAGACGATCCAACAGCGGATTTTCTATACGGTAGGACTGAACTAACACTCAGTTTGATTAGGTAAAATAGCATTTTGCGTCTAAGTAGCGGATACAGCAGATAGCTATATGTTTAACGTTTAATGGAGTATTGCCTTTTGCTCTAGATGACGGTCGACCTCACTGCAGTACTGCCAAGGAGAACTTTTGGCATTCAGCTCTTTTATACAACGAAATGTCGCTTAAGCTCGGTCCCTTTTACTTCTACTAGATTTAATGAATCCGTTTCTAGGACCTGAAAGATGATGCTGGGCTTGAGTCAGGTTAATCTGGTGTTCATTCCAACGTGATTTTCTGTTCTGAAAAAACCTTGTGCCTTTTTCCGGAATGAGATGAAAACACTTACGAAAGACTGAACTATATCTATGTCAATTGGTGTGTGCGGGCTAGGTTAGATATGTACTCTTTTCCCTTAAATTTCATATATACTGTAGACATAGACAGGCATAGGCGAAACTGAATGTAGAGGACCGCTGAAAGTACATTGATACGACGATTACCTTTACTGACACCGCTCAACTCGAGCTCGATGGCAAGACCAAATATAAGAACCACGATAAGCTGACACAGCGGATCAGTGGAAAAGGCTCTGACCCCGCCCACCGAACGTGGCCTAAAGTGAAAGGCCTAAAGTTTTTAAAACGGCGTGAAACGAGCTCTACGCAATGGCTAATTGTTAAAGCGTGATGAATATTTTATCAGCGAAACAACACGCTTAGCTTGTCCTTAGAAGTTAACTAAGGTTATTCCTAACGAGTAATATTTCAAGTGCGTAAATAGTTTAGAGCTTGTAAAAACAATGAATGAACATATAAATTTACTTGAACAATTTAGTAAGAATCACCCGAAATCGCAGTTCGATGAAATTTCAATATAATTAATCATTTCAGTTGATATTTTCCGGAAGAGTACACGTTGGTGATTGCGTCTCCGGTTGTGATGCATCAAGCATTCGTTGCTGAGTTGACTAACCTGTTGTGGTAGCTAGAGGATTCTGCCAAAAGTGGCTAACCTCTAGTAAAGGTTAGCATAAAACGATTTGAACAAGATGTCGAAGGAGCCTGTAGCGCCAACGTTTCTCCACAAGCCAATCCTACGACAAGAGGACGACGGAAATCGGCTGGTATTCGAATGTGAACTTATCGCCAATCCGAGACCCACGGTAACTAGATTTATTGCTAACGTATAGTAATTTCTGACTTTTTCTCTGTATAAAACTTTACCGTAAGATAGCGCAAAACAGAGGGCGTGATCTCACGAAGCTTAAATAGAGACTGACTAAAGCTTTATTTGGACTTATACAATTTCCCATCGATATACGGGATAAACTGGCACACCATTTATACTTGCCGCATGTTTACTAACTGCATGTAGGTAAAAGCAGGTATTTTGGTAAGTAACTTTTTTGCATATGCCGGCAGGGACGTTCGATGACGACAGCTATCTCTGGGGTCTAAATTGCCCACATGTCATTTTTAAAAACGTACCTTCTAGATTTGCTAAAAGGCATTGTACACAACAAATCCAGCAAATTCTTATCTGGAACTGGTCATAGTTTAAAGTTCTAAAAAGCGCAACAAGTTGTACTGGTGGAGCTTATCTGAACGACCCAACTGGGAAAGAAACACTCTCCTCTCTCGAAGGTGGCTGCTAATTTCTGTATCGAAATTTCTGGATAACTGGCCTCTCCGCATTTTAATGAGCTTTTGAGCCATGTAGATTTTTCGCTTCATCCCATGGAAATTTTCCTGGGATTCTGTGAATGCTTCATGAGAACTGGCAGCAACGTAGACTTTCGATTTTGATAAACCAAGGAAGTTTGTAATTTTGTCGCGTGGGTTCGTCCAAGTGAAGGATATTAGGAAATAACGCATCTTTGTTCATATTTTGAACACGAACGTCCTGTTTTCGTCGCTCTGTCCCTAGTTTATCTTCTTTTAACACTGAAAATGATGGATGAACGCATGCTCGTCGCCACAAGTAAATGTGTCTTAATAAGTTCCAAACATCTGTCTTTCCGGCTTTAAATACAAATTCCATGATATGTCTTTGCCTCATAATAAAATCTGCCCATAAAAAGGTATCCTACGGGTGCGCAGAAAGGTTGACACTTCATAAATATCAAATCCGATAAAATTGTAAATTCACTTTACCAACAAAAACTTTTACAGAGCTGTAGTATTTTTGGAACGATTACCTTTTCTCAGGTTCAATGGTTTCGCAATGAACATGAGGTACTGGACACTCAGCGAACTGAATATAAGATATTAGAGAAGGCTCCGGGCAAATACTACATCGCGCTGGCCATTGACGACGTGTACGAACCCGATAAAGGACTCTATACCGTTTCAGCCAAAAACCACCTTGGAGATGTCAGCTCTTCCATCAACCTCAACTTTTTGCGTAAGTACTACGATACGGACATTATAGAGGGTACAGATATTGTAAACATAAATGTTTGATACCGACGCATCTAATTCAAGTCGGACTTGAAGTAAATCTACTGAAATAGTATGGAAATTTTAGTTGGAGCAGAAAGCTAACGAAGTGGGCTCCCATTTTCGGGAACATTTCCACATCAAGTCGGAGCTTAGTGCCTAACAGAATATACAATTAGCCTTTTACGGAAAAGTAAAATAATAGATACGTTTAGTTTTATAATACATGAACGCTGTCATGGTGCCTGATATTGAATTTCTTCAACCAGTATAGATCGCGTCGTGTATATATAAAAAAAAAAAAAGAGCTAAAATTATTGAAAACAATGGACTTCTCATCTTATAAAATATTTTTTGTTCTAAGGAGGCGTTTGTAACTGCCATTTTAATTAAGTAGATTAAGGCCTGTTATGATTTTGTGAAACGCTTCTGCGGATATAGGAATTTATACATCACATATTCTATCTCATATTTTAAGCTGGTGAGAATTTATATATGTACACGTATACATATGTACTGGGAGCGGCTCTACCAATTTTTATGCGAAAAATATGTGCTACATGCTCATATATAGTACCCCGTCAATCAGAAAAGTGCCCAATGTTTACCGATTTTTGCCGCAACTCTATTCAAACCCCCCAAGGGGCAAAACTTCGGTCAGTCACGGATGTGTGTTCCGCAATATCAAAAAAACGACACATTCAGATAAAGACAGTAAAAAAGGTTTCAAGTCCTTAAGTCTTACTTAAACCACACATTGAGGTTTGCACAAAAACTAATCGCGCAGGTGAGAAGTAAGTAATATCAACGTAAAAGATGACAGGACGGCCACGTCTCCCTCTCAAACACCTTGCTCTCTGAGTAATGAAGTGTTAGAATGTGTCAGTATAGTATCTGTATAAGCTAGTGGAGATATTGGTGTGGATCGTGCAAAAACGTCTTATACAGAATAGATACGATGCCAGTGTGAACGCTGTGAACTGCGTGAAACAGTCTATGCTTAGAGTGAAACACTTGTTCTGAACGTGTATCGAAAATTTTCGAGCGGAGCTTTTGTTGGAAAGAAGATTTTCGAATGTCATACTTGCCATTACACAGATATCTGCTATGTCCGGAAGCAGTTTCAGTTGGGTGTCTACCCTCGCCCTGGGCTCTTGCACTTGCCCACGGCCCTCCCCTACCAGACGTGAGCCGAGGCATGAGCTCAGTAACTGTCGGCCGTATATCTGAAGACTATTTTAGAATACTCTAGCGATTGGTAATTACCATTTGAAGGGCTGTCAAGATGAGTTCTTATATGGTAAAGCTCTGCTTGTTCAGTATTAAGGGCGAAGATTCAAAGTGACATTGTTGGAATAATGCAGTCATATGAAAACACAGCATGACAAATTACGTTCCATTTCAAAACATATGTGTTCGACGCTATTCATAGAAGCAGTAGTTTTAATATGTTTAATATGAAATACAATTGATTTTTGTTCTCCCGTGAGGGCAGTTAGTACTTCAGATAACAGCAGTTCATAAGCCGACGCCAGACTCGTGAAAATGGTTAGATGCAGACATTCTCAATAAAGAGTTTTAGGTCATTAACGCCTATGGGAAAAAGGGCGCTGGATAGATGCCAGTCGTATATATCTTTCCAACTACTCTCTCGGGACTTAGTTTCCGAACGACTATTCAGCTCTAGATCTATCCAATTCTAACATCAAATGAGTTATGAATGTGCCAAGCCAGCTGAAATATTGGTAGAATATTTTAAACATGAGTATAGGTGAAACTATAACGGCAGCATATATAATGCATACTACTAATGGGCCATGACAATCATATGGGTGCGAAAACGGCTAGTATTTAGAACCAATGCACAAACGAAGTGAGACCAGAGCCCCATTACTTGAAACGCTACAGACTTAATATAAGCCCATATACTAATGTTGCCGTATTTCCTATGGATAGTGTATTTGAATTAGCTCCAGCTTTGCCTTGTGGTTCATTGAAATGCTCATTATACAGTACCTAAAACGGGTTCGAATCCCTAAAGAGGACAAATGTGGTCGCTGATTTCTCGCTTACGCCGTGTGTTTGGTTTTTTTTTCTTTTTTTTTTTGCTAATTTTTGAGAACACGTATTTTTCTAATTGGTCTTTATCTTCATAGCATAAAACGTCAATAGATCTTCGACAAACGAAATACGCTGAATAATTTCGAACACTCTAGCCATTTGAAACGAGTTCTCCGTGGATGTGTTTTTAATGATTTGTAGTCCCTGTATAGCATAGATGTTTCGTGTATTATCTAATCTTAACTATAATTAGTGGAACAATATGGCAGTTCTTTGCCAAAGTTTCACAAGCAACAAAAGCCATCAGTCACGGCCTAAAGCAGAACTCATTCTTGGTGAAGATGCAAAAGATTGTCACCTGCGTACGGTTAATAATCGTTAGCTTTGTTTTATTGTGTACCGACTGACTACTACAAGTGCCATCAGTATACGAGGTAAACGAGTTGTCTGTGTATTGAGCGTACTATGACCATGAATCAACAATGGTGCAGGGTGATTTCGAATGGTATGAAATCAGCTTCCATCTAGATTTAATGGTTAGGCTGCGCGTCCTACAAAAGTATGCCTTAGAGTAGTTCCTAACGTCCTAAACTAGCTAAAACCTAATAATGCGTCACTTTGTGTTTCAGCTGCTGATAAGCCATTCGAAAGGTGAGTCGTTTGGAGATCGTTTAGAATCAGTTTATAATTTAGATAAGTTTGTTGCTTGGTCTAATAAGCTGTTAGTGTTTATTTTGAAAAGAAAGACTACAAGAGTCACTGCTAAATCTTGATTTATGTATAGTTGTGCCTAGGAAAGCTAGCTTCCGACATAATTACCAGGCGGTATTCAGGAACCAAGCAGGAGAACGGATTGCGCTATTCATTGCGTTCGTTATTGCTTCACGTGCATTTGTGCCCAGATTCAAACCCAGCTGTCTCGTTGTCCTTCGCTAACTAAGAGCCCAGCACGTTTCTATCGAGGGTACGTGTACCCAAAACCTTTAGTACCTCTCCACTGAGACCACAATCAGAATAGGCGCCGTTGCGTTTACCGAGACATTGCAGCCTTGATGTGGATCCAGAAAGGAAGATTACTCAAGTTAGTTATGCAAACTTTTGATTACAAGACATTATTACTAAAGCGAGCTAGTTTTTCGATGGCTATAATGTTTAGGAAGCTTTGCAGCGGTGACATTCAATTCGGAATCACAATAAGCCGAATTAGGTGTTAAAATTTGTATAGTAGGTCATTCTAAGATACCTGCTATGAACCTTTTAGCCTTTCAGCTTTGTTATAGCATGTATATTCGTTAGAAAAAAATCTGTATTGGGTACATTTAAAAAAATATATACTACCAAAGCTCTGCACCGCATATTTCACTTCGAGACGTAATCTCAAAAATTCGAATTACTACACTTCAAATAGCTTTCACGATTATATACGCTTCCAATCTTCGACAACTTGAACTATTGAAGCTTAAACCCCCCGCGTCAACCTCACACGCGCGTTAGCGGCGAGTTTTCTCTGTAAAGCTTCATTAAGAAGCCCAAAATAGCCAATTTTTACTTTCTAAGAAAACTTTGAATGAAATTTACTACATATTTTCAGAGGTATAATTTTTATCATTAACCAGCACAGTCAAGCGCAAAGGTTGCATAAGATGTAGACGCAGCTAGCGAATTTCGATACGTCGTCAAATATAGTTTGCTGAAACGAGGCAGCAAACTTAAAACTTTCAAGTGGAATTGATGTGATATATACACCTTATTCTAGTAATTTCAACATTCCATAATAACTTCGCTTTTGTATGTGTTTAGCTATGTTTTTAAAATGCTTCTTCTTCTAGTTTTTTTCAACGTGTGCCAATAAAAGCTTAGTCTTACGAAGCATTCGGAGTTTCATGGAGAGTTCTGAACACTGTCTTATTTTTTTAAATTGTTCTGACATTTCTGTCGAATCAGTTATTAAGGCTAATATCCGCCAGTATGACTGGGTCCACTGTTAGACATCTACTTTAACTGCTACCGCGAATGTCTTGCGATATTTATCGACTGATACTCTAATCAGCTGGCCGCTTGGGTCACATACAGCTGAAAGGCCAAAGCCTCTCAACTGCTCGGTTCTAGCTTTCTTGGCCTTATCCTCCGTGGTCTCTGCTATGCGTCAGTATGGCATGATAATGGCGGTTATATTAATATAGCTTTTTTCTTCTGTGACTTGGCTCATTCGTGTGCGAGGTGAGCCGATGGCTCAATGGCTTGAAGCCGGGCGATTCGATTCTTGGCGTGTGGTGACTCGACGATTCAGCTTCTTCGGTTTGCGATCGTTCGCTCGCCATATTTGCTGGTCCTCTTTTGATCTAGTCTTAAAAGAGCTTCCGGTCCTTGTGCAGTACCGATACAACTCGAAGTAGCAATGAAGCTATCGCTGAACCCTGCCATAATCTGTGCCTTCCCTATGCAACAGTTCGGTTTGCCCGAAGGCAATAACCGGGTGAACGGCAGGCCCAAAGTGAACACGTTGAGCCTATTTGATGCCCATTGGTTACTAAAGAAGCCCACTCACACACACGTTAGTAACAACAGTAAACAGCATAAAGACCAGGCGCGGCCGAATTTTTGGTCTCCGAGATGTATCGGCGACGAAAATACAACACGGCATAGCACCGGTTCGGCAGTGGGACAATTGTTTTAACAAACTACTCCAAAATCATGGGGAGGAGGGAGGTAACGAAGCAGTAGGGAAAGCAAATGGCAACTATGGACGATTTATGAGCCAACAACAGGCACCATCTTGAAGGCATAAAGGATAGTTTTGTCCAGACGCTTTAGAGCGAGTGCCGCTGGCGAAAAGAAATCGATTGCAATTTGTTATCGGGATGTCAAACATGGTGATTTCTAGAGAATGGAGAATATGCGACTATTACGTGGTACATGTAGCCGATTAATAGCCACACCATAGCTCTGAGTAGCTAGAGATATTTCCGTTTACATCGTCCTATTTAAGGAAGGGCGTTCATTCTCATCAACTGTCAATTTACGGTGGGGCCATTTAACTTAAAAACCAATTGAAACGAATTATGCTATCCTGACGAAGACATTGTGCATCGCTAACTTGGCGCTTTTTTGACAATACTGATGAAACGTACTTTGAATCGTAGAGGACCTTTCATAACGCGGCTTGTACTAAAAACTTACTTATTTTTTATTTATTTATTTTTTTTTTATTTATTGGCTTTATTTTAGTAAATATAAATAATCCCTTACAGTGTGTACAATTGAAGTTCAGGCTGTTATGCTATCTAAAATGAAGACAACGTCTCCAATTCGTAAAGCAGCTTATGCTGAGCTTCAAAGTATCTTGCGAACAGCCACTGCCATTGCTGTGTCCTTGAGAAGAGGCTCTTAATAAAGATGGCTAGATCGTTTATTTGTGTTGCGCTATTGCTTCGACTATGTACTGTTAACGTTGCTTAACGACATCAATAAGTATAGTGAGATATGATAAACGAAAAAAGGCAAAAGTTGACCATGGCCTAATAGTGGTATTTGCGACAGGTACTTCTGTTTCGAACTGTAACTACAGCTACTTTCTTAATACGCATACGTGTCCTAAAGGTCTGCCGCATCAATTCGCGGTTCCTTCTCAATACCCAAATAGATTGCACTAACCGATTGTTTTGATATTGGTATTATGTTTTCTGCTCACTAGACGATTCTATGGTTAGCGAGTTACGAGTTTTGGCAATCAGACGTATGCTTACACAAAACAGTATCAGTTTCAACGTTCTTTTCTTCAGCACTAGCATCTTCTATCTGGATTGACTGCAAAATCATTAGAGCCTCTCGGATGTCCCATATTGCCCCCCGTTGTTTGGCAACGTACGACTGAAACAACAGATCTTTAATTATCACCTTTTTAATTTTGATATGCAACCACTAGGTTTTTAAGTAAGGATTGCTCTGTTAAATACTGTCGTGAATTTTCTCGTCTCTAGTTTTAACGATACAAATACTTATGACTCATTTAGCCTGTCATTTCCTATAAATCTCTTAGTTATTTAGTGGACACCCCCTAATCGAAGTATGTCTCTGCTATGCACTGGCAAATCTGCACTTTGCCACCTCGTGGCCGGCCTTCGCTGCTGTTGCTGTTGTCTATCCTATGCGCCACCAATCCATTATATTTCCATTGCCTCACATGACGCCAGCCTGAAGTCCGTTTTTCGCTGTAGAATTTTGAGGTCAGTAGAGAGACAGTCTAATCTTAGTTAGGCTTCGGTCTGAAAGGTGGGTGGATAAGACAGAGTTAACAAACAAGACTTGACTGAAGGACTACAGCAACCGCTACTATTTCTGTGATTCGCATAGAACGACAAACAGGTGTTATGTTTTTCTCGCAGTCAGTTGCGTTCTTGGGGCGAACAGCGTTGGGTATTAATGCAACTCTTGTTGTCTCTTTTCCCTGATGGCATTCCGGGCTTTCTGCCCACATAAATGCCTAGTTGGTCGTTGTTTTGTCCTGTTGCAGTTTGCGACCTGAGCCTCGAATGGCTCAAAACCTAAGAAAGTGTTTTGATATTCGAGTGTCACGGATAAGGGCCTAAGGTGTCTTTCCTTTAGCCTCCGTCAAATCAGTTGGCCTTGTGTTCTGTGACGTGCACATTGCAGAAGGTATTAACATTAATTTAGTGGTATACGGTGAGCTTTAACGAATTACGGGCTGATCCGTTTCAAAGATCACAATGAACCGGTCAACATTTCGGCCGTGGTTGTTTTGTAGCCAGTTAAAGCTGTTCTAGGCTTCAGCGACTGTCTATGCGATGCTGGCCATTAATCGTAGGCGAACCGCAAAGAGCTTGTAAATTCTAGACAATTTTGTAAAGGAATCTAAGAAGCGTTAACCTAGATCTGTTCTATATCATTTAGCCCCGTTACTTTCGGCAGTGGCCACGCAGACGAATAGAAATCGCTATGCGATTACATACCGTTGCTTGATGGAGACGGCACGTGAGCCGGTAGAAGGCCGGGCAACTGCTCTGAACATAAATGAAAGTAACATTTCCTAGGTTTTAGAAAAGGTATACGCGTACCTCATTCGGCATCTATATGTTCTAATATTGAACGCTTCGAATATGTCCAATAAAGGTTATGTTAGGTTGGTGACCTGGCTGCAATGAAAAGTCATGACCATTAACCACACTTTGATACGGCAATACAAGCTAGCTTACGATAGCCATCAGCAACGGACGGCTGAGCAAGGACTTAACGAGGTGGCGGAGTGCTGTTTATACGAGCTTAATGTATATGAGCAATGGAGTTTGGTGGCACGGGGCCCTTGCTTCTTTCACATACTCACTTGATGGGGCCAGCTGCTCTCAGCTGCAACCACAATGTCTTCTTGTAGTCTACTAGCAGGTAACAATAAATGCTCAAATTGGATATTAGATAATATTTACAAAAACCTATTGAGATGTCACCGAGTTACAAAAACCCGCGATCTGAGCATTGTCCTGTTTTACTCCTTGTCACTGCCACCGTTGGCTCTGCGCAACAACCGAATTTTCGATGTAAACTCTGTAATTAAATTAGCGAAGGCAACAAGCTTAATCGGCACTCTTTAGTAGTAGTGCAGAAACCAGCACTGCGCATGGTGACGGATGAACCCA